CATTGATTTTTTAATAAAGAACAATAAGAAATTTGATGTTAGTGTTATAAAAAAAAGTAATATCATTATTATTAAATTTAATGATGAAATTTAGAACCACCGAGTTTTGAAATTTTTATGTGTAAAATTTAGCTCCAATAAAATAATTTTAACTCAAAATTTTGGTGAGAAAATCTTTCTAGGAATACTCCAAATGCAATGAAATATAAAAGTCTTAGCAATTAATTAATGTACCATTAGCCATTAATTGAGTGAGCAAAAGTCTACTTGTTTAGCGAAACTTATTAACGTATTATTTCAGAGGAAGGACGGGGCAATGGTGTCCATTCAATAAGGAATAATAATAATTTAATAATTAAATAATAACTTAGTTGGGTCCTCTTTCTTTGTTAGGGCCTCACTAAAGAATGGGTAGATGAATAATAATAATAATATAATATAATAATATAAAAAACGAAATAACAATAATTCCCAAACCTGAAAATTAATTCAGTTCATATTTATATTCTGGTCCAATTATATAACGTCTTACAAAATTAAACTTGTGTTTGCTTTGTTGTCCTTCCCCTTTTATGGTTAGTTAATGGCACCAAAAATAGAGGTGACTCACTTCGATAAATGCGAGCAGGCAAAAGTTGCGACTAAGTGATCTGCAAAAATAATTACTACTATATTTACTAAGGTCTGCTGGTGCAGGGGATTATGTAGAGAGCTTTGATGTTTAGCCGTATACAAATGGTAATTAAGCTGTAAATACAGTAAAATTTTAAAATTTAACTAATATGTAAATTAATTCATTTTTTTGCTAAAATTAAATAATCAATATTTTTTAATTGAACTTTTTATTTTATATAATTAATCTGGAGATTGATCTGAGTTCTCTAAAGGCTTTCATGTTTAATTAATTAAATATATATAAAATGCATATACAAGTTATGTAATAAAATTGGATATCGCCTTTGTGGGAGGGTGTTGTCGTATATATACATTTAAATAAAATTGTTTCATTGAATAGAGTTATATGCTAATGTTAACTGTTGAAAATTTACATTATTATATTTAATATAATTAAATACGGTAACATTTTAAACATAATATTATGAAAATCTTTAAAATATTTAAAATAATTGTATATTTACTGGACGAAACATTTCACCGAGGAAGTAGTAAAAATAAATTTGCTAACCGCTGCTATGCATGCTTCCCCCATCTCTCACGTATTACTGTGCGTGCTTCCCCATTTCTCTCACGGATTAATGTCACAAACACATCCGTAGCCCTGGGTCTTACCTTGCCCGCTGGTCTCCCTAAGGACTAAGAAAGCGGTAGGATGAGAATGGAGGAGCCTTGGCAATGTGCATGGACAGAGTCGGGGCCATAGAATTACATAAATCTCAGTTCCGTTTTAAAATATCATGACAATTAGAAAAAGAATGAAGTATGGAATTAATGACTCAACTAAACAAATAAAAATTTTTTCTTAATTAACTGTTTTTAAGTAGTAATTAGTTGTCTTAATAAATTTGTTAATTAGTTTCCGCTAAATTTTACCTAATTTCACTTTCTCATTTTCTAAAATATATAGTAAAATGCTTACACTTTGGACACTATAATTTTAATATCGGTAATATCCTTTTTAATATTTTGATTGACGTTAAGCCACTATAATTTGTTCATTTTTAGTGTACGATTACATAGAAATTTTATATTAGTATTTATAGTTTAAGCAGCTGTCTCTAATCGATTTAATTTTATGAGATGAACAAAGGATAAAATAACTTTTTAAAAGTATATCTTTTTATTATTTTGGTCCCATAAACGTTTGCACTAGATTGTAGATCCATATATATAAAATTTATAGTAGTCTAATATTTTGACCATAGTAAAAATACTTAAATGCTGTCTTAAAAATTAATAAACACGTAAGCGAATACTCAAATTTTCAAAAATGGAATAAAGCTTCAAGTAAAGAATCATTTTATCTATCGAATGTGGGTTCGGTTCAATTTTGAGATTTAGAAACTATACTTCTGCCTTTTTATTTAAAAGGTTGAGTTTAATAATTCTTGTGAACGAAAGAAAAATTTGCTTGGAGTGTTCCCTGTTAAAGGAACCACGTTCGCCATTCAAATCCACGGTGGGACGAAATCGCGAATTAAACCTATTATTTGTCTTTTTTTTTTCTTAATGTAAAATTGTGGAATTGAAATTTTAAGAAATGAATAAGATTCTTGGATCAACGTCCAAACTGTCTGATCTAGGCATATGCCACTGAACTATTCAACTCTTATCACAAATAAAAAAAAAAAAATTATGCTTTACGTTTTCTCATCTTCTCCAATTAAACTCTCTACTCCTCGATTATACCTATTATATTTGCTTATTACATCGCTCATCGCCCTATAAACGGACTCAACTGTATTATAATTACACACACACACACACATAAAAAGACTCTAATATAATAAACTTGTCTTCAAAACTCTCTCTCTCTCCCCTCTAGCTTCCCCTTTACTGTAGAAATGATGGTACCAAAGAACAGTTGTTAGTCATCCCTTAAAAAAGTTGAAGAACAGAGGAGCTTGGACTGCTGAAGAAGATCAAAAACTATCTGAATATATTGAAGGTTTCATGGTGCCTAAAGAGATGGAAAAACTATTGGGCCACGTAGCAGGTTTTAATTTTTAAACTCGCATATAATCCGCTTCTTTCTTTCTTTTCTTTCTTCTTTTTGGTAAAATGCTCTTTAAATTTTTTAAAGAGGGGTTGGCATTTAAGCTTAAGCAGGAGGTGCCAGAGATTTCTGGGGATATGAGGCCTGTACTATTGTTTCAGGTTTGAACCGATTGTGGGAGAGTTGTAGACTGAGATGTTGAAACTATGAGACCTAATATAAAAGAGAGGAAAAACATTTCAGTATGTGAGAAGACTTAATTCTAGGAACTTCGATAAGCTACTGGGCAACAGCGTTAATTAGTTCATAAACTACAAAAATTTATTTATTACTTAATTAATTAAAAATAATGTGTTATATTTATATTATGTATGTAATAGGTCGGTCATGATTGCCGGCAGACTTCCTGACGAAAGACAATGAAATAAAGAATACTGGAACTCACATACGCCAGAAAATAGCTGGGAAAAAAACCAGATATCTCCAATGCCAACAAGAAATTCAACAAGAAAAGACTTGTGCATTTACTAATCAAGGGTAATGCAAAGAAGGCTACAGGAGCTGCGATCTGATATTTCATTCGATGTTAACGAGTTGTTTGGTTATTCGACTGAAGGATCCACGGTTTGAGTGGTAGTGAACAAATTCTTTGAGCTCGATGTGGGAGGATCCATGCGCTCACTGAATATAGGTTTGAGCTGCCATTACTGTGCATGTGGTCTGTGAAGTGAGCAACTCGAACGGTTGTTCGGTTTGTCCTTATGTTTTTGAAAAGAAGAACCGTTGACTTTTATGTATTCTTTGAATAAAAATGTTTAAGGGTTTTTACTCGTCGTTAATGATGTTGGTTAGCACATGGATTTTGTTTTTTAAAGAAAAAATTGTTAAATCATGGTCCGTGTGGACCAGGTCGACAGCCATATTATGAACTAAACCAATATGGTAAAGATTCTTGTTCTGATTTTTATTTCTTAATTGGTTTTTTAGTGCCATAGTAGAAATATTTCTCGTTTCAATAAAAAAATTTTATTTCTCGTTAGTTTGCGTCTATAAGTGGCCAGGAATCCATTCGAGGTAAAATTTTTTTTTTTTTTTATGTTAAAATTTCCTTATAGATATATTATATGATCCAATAACCGAATCCAAACATTTTGCACTGCCACTTAATAAATATGTTTTATGAATTTACTTAAAGGCTGGAATATATTTAGGATAGTTAATTATACGCAGTTAGATTCATTTTCAAAAAAAAAAAAAATATGACGATTAGGACTAATCTTGATTAGTTTTATATCTTCTAACTATGAATACTATTTGAATGAGTGAAAATAATAGTTTTTTCTTTTTTTAAAGAAGTCTATTATATTTTTATTTTTTTTTCAGGTAAATGGTATAAATATTTTTATTTCAATAAAAGATTATGTTTGATTATTTATTTGCTCATGGTGTGGACCAGTGTAGATTAAATCTTGCTGAAATCAATCCTTTCAAAGAATTGAATTTACAGTTCTAATAAATTTTAATCCCATGCATATATAAACAATTGATGTAATGCATTGTATAGAAAGCAATTTGATTTTCCTAGGATTGGTCCATGAGTCTACCTCATCGCACCAAAACTAATGATAATAAGGATAGTTTTTTTTTTTTAATTGAAAACAAAAAGTATTTTTGATTGTTGATAGAAAAACATAGAAAATGAAAAATAATATTTTGAAAAAATTTTTTATTTTTTCATTTGCATTTGATATTAAATAAATCCTATAGCTCTCGCTATAAGTCTAATTCTGTATAAAAATATTTATTTTAGAATATTCTATAAATTAATAATCTCTTCCACCCTATTGTAATGACTAAAAAAACTCGATACCTCAATTATCAGAAAATATATTGTAATGACATTAAATAGTTAATTTACTTTCTATAATTTTCTAAATGACAACAATTGACCCCGAAGTTGACAAACTAATTGGATGCGAGTAATATCTCTTCTATTCTATTTTTCTCTTAATTCATTCCTCTCCTTTTCTTTTTCGTTTTCGCAACTTCATTTTTTACTCTGGGAATTCTCCGAGTAAACAAAACACAAGCTAGGTGTTGCTTGCCTACAACCACCTAAACAATTTGGAATTCAGATACTCCATGAACTGTGAAGAACACCTTGAGGTCTTCCGATAGACAGATCAAGAAAGAAAACCAAAAAATATCGGCAGTTCCTGACCATTGCGCATTGCAAGCCTTTGGGGGAGCAGTAACTCTCCTTTTGATGTGACTCAGAACAATAGAAAGCATTACAAAATTAACATGCAAGTCCAGCTCTTTTAACATGCAAGTCCAGCTCCGGAAAGTGGAGGAGGCTCAGTCTTTGCAAGCAAAAAAAATGGACGATTTTTCTCAACAAATGAAACAAATGATGGAGATGATGCATTCTCTTCATCAAGGTAAGGAAACTCTAAACTCTGCTATGGAAAATGATGCAAGGTTGTTGCGTTTTATTGACACCTTGAACTAATGATATCAGGGAAGCTTTGAACCCTAACCCTAATCGTCTTCCTCTCAACCCAACTCTAATTGATTTGGAAGGATTGGAGATCCTGTCACCCAAGTGTTCGTGTTCTTTGGAAAAATATGGTTCCTGCAAATTCTACTTGGGAGGATGTTTCTTTTTTCTCATGTCTCCATTTTCAGCTTTAAAATCTTGACGACAAGATGCGATTCAAAGCAAGGGGTATTTGTCATAACTAAGATGTAATTGTAGTTGGGGTTGGTTGTTATTGAATTGCATTTTCATGTCTATAAAGAGCTGCTAGCTTGTTCGGCGATTATTAATTAAGTTGTAGTAGAAATTAATAGCAGCAGATGCAATGCATGTTAAAATCAAAATGGTACAATGGAGGTCATAGTAAAATTTATTAATTTTATGGATTTTAGCTTAATATTACTAACCAAATACAGGAACTTGATATATTTGCGAAAAAAAAAAACAAAGGAATTTGATAAATCTACAAAAAAATGTTTAAATCCTATCTATCTAAACCACTTTTTAGTTATAAAATTGATCTTATGCATCGAATATAAAAATTTATTTTAGGAGATTAAACGGTGAAACACGAACATAGGTTAACCACTTAATTCATATTGATAACACAATCAATTATTTTTGATAAAATAAAATTTAATATAGTAAATATAAGATTTATATAGTGTTAAAAAATAAATAAATAAAAGAAATAATTTGATCTAATTGGAGAAATTTCTGAGAAATAATTTGATCTAATTGGAGAAATTTCTGCAACTGCAAGTCAATATGTAACCAAATTAGCAAAGCTGCGACAAGAAACTGCAAGCTTTGTTGTTTGCCAACCCCCTATAGAATTCCTTTTTTTGTTTCTTCAGAACTTTCCTTTTTGTTTTCTTCAAAACTTCCAGCATTGTAAGCAAAAGTTGCCTTTCACAATCAAAATTTGCATCTTTTAAGACCCCCTTTTTTTTTTTTTTTTTTTCCCCTTTTTTTTTTTTTTTGAAAATTTTTAAATATATACTATATTTGTCTAAGTTAATATATAAAATTTATTTTATTTATGTTTTTAACCCTCTCTTTTTAAAATTATATATTCGCCCAGAAAAAAATATTTTTAGATCACCGCTAAATTCCGCGTAATTATATTTAAAATATATTCAAAATTCAAAAATATTTAAAAATATATAAATATTTTCTTTCTAAAAATACACTTAAAGAGACGAACAACTGAAAGTTGCCGCTCGTCTTGCCAACCCATGGCTTTCCTCCATTCATATATAACCTTTGAATTCATTTGTTTGAAGACCCCATCCCCATTATTTTTTCTTCAATTTCAAACGTCTTTCCTTTACTCTCTCCAATATTCATCTCTCTCCTTCAAACACCCAGGTACATTTCTTTTCTTTTATCCTTCGATTATATCGCCGTTTCGATTGCGATTAATCAATTTTTTTGGATTTCTTTTTGTGAAAGTTTTGGCTTCCTAATTTGTATAATTAGTGTAAAGTTTGGAATGCATAGTCATCCTTCAATTTTCTTTGGATATGTTCTTCTTGTCCAGCTTACCAAAAATGGGTATAAATTTCAAGTTAAAATCAATGTTAGATAAATCCCAATTAATATTCATGCTTGTATTTGTATCAATTTCTTTTTTTTTTTGCCTTATGTAATTTTTTTGTAATCATTTCTCTTTTTTTTTTTTTTTTTTGTTCGTTTTTTTTTTTTTTTTTTGTTAGTTAGTTTTCGATCAGGGTTTCAATTTGCAATCTCACGTCCTTAAAACGACTCCTGCGCCCCCATGTGTAAAGAATGTTAGATTGGATTGTGTGCATGTGACTCCTAAAGAGCTTGCAATGCAGGAAGTCTTGTGCATTGAAACACCTTTGTTTATCTTGTTTTTGATCCATTATTTTCCTCTTCCTTTTCGCTCTTTCAATATACATATATCTTTTGTTAAATTTCTGTGTTGATTAAAATTAATTTCTTTTTTGTTGATCAAGTACTCATTTTTTATTCTCAGTGTCTTGGGCACGTTTGGAGGGGATGAATGGAAGGATTTTTCATATGATAGTACTGCTTTGTGAGGCAACCGATGGCTTCAAACTAACTGCTATGTATTATTAATATTATAAATTGAAATTATGTACTAGACTTCTAAAGCCACCAAAGGATTGAAACTAAGTAACTTCAAGCCTTATTTAATTAAGGGCTAGCCAATTATCATGTTCTTAACATTTTATTTATCAGCGAAAGTTTGAACGGTTCTAGTAACATTTTATTTATCAGCGAAAGTTTGAACGGTTCTAGCATAATAAAATGATAAAATTTTCTGGCGCATAATTGTTGTGATAATGAGAAAAATATTGCGGCATTGCATGTGGAGCAGATTTTATTGGAGAAAACTACTCTTGGCTACTGTCACAATGACAGTAGTTGGAGTTTTGGTGCATACTATTGTATTTCCTTTTCCATTTAAGCGGTGGTTCGTTTCTTTGCCTATCATAGTGTCATCACACATGTCCTTGAATGGTAACTTGCAGTTAAGAGATACTGTTAATGAGGCAAAAGTTGAACAATCTCCCGTTGTTCAAACTGAGACTATTCTCTCAGTGAAATCTAAAGCGTCATCTAAGGCAGCTAGTGCCAGAGTCCCTCGAAAAAGAAATTCTATAGCCAGAAAGAGAAGAAAGAAGAATAAGGTAAATGATGATGCAAAGGTTGTTCCTCCTGTGCCTCCTCGCATTCCTGCGCCACGTCACTTGCAGGTAGAGACATCGAGAATTCAATATTGCTTCTTGTTTCGTTCTGATTAAAATATGGGAGCCGTTAGCAATGATATATTTTCCATGCTGTAATACTGCAGAGATATATTTGGTCCTTGTCACCAAATGATGCCCTCTTGTATGCTAAGAAAGAGATTGAACATGCTCCAGTGATTAGAGATGATCCTTTTCTATATGCCCCTATATTTCGCAATGTTTCTGTTTTTAAGAGGTATATCTTGTAACAGTTCTCACATTTTTGCTTCATATCCCTATTGGTAGTTCATGATTTATCATATTTGTGAAATATATGCATTATGATTGATTGATTGATAGAAGGTTTGAAACTGAAAACGCAATTTGGTTGTGCTGGTTTGAAATTGTAAATGAGGATATTATGGTAGATAAATGTTCTTATATTAATGTGGAGTCTTCTAATGATTTTCAGAAGCTATGAGTTGATGGAGCTGATAGTTAAAGTTTACATCTACCCTGACGGGAGTAGGCCTATCTTTCATCAACCCCATCTGAATGGAATATATGCTTCCGAAGGGTGGTTTATGAAGTTTATGGAGACAAACAGAGAGTTTATCACAAGGGATCCAGAAAAGGCTCACTTATTTTATCTTCCATACAGTGCACACCAGCTGGAGAAGACACTTTATGTGCCTAACTCACACAATCTGAGACCATTGTCGATAGTTAAAGTTTACATCTACCCTGACGGGAGTAGGCCTATCTTTCATCAACCCCATCTGAATGGAATATATGCTTCCGAAGGGTGGTTTATGAAGTTTATGGAGACAAACAGAGAGTTTATCACAAGGGATCCAGAAAAGGCTCACTTATTTTATCTTCCATACAGTGCACACCAGCTGGAGAAGACACTTTATGTGCCTAACTCACACAATCTGAGACCATTGTCAAAATTCATGAGAGATTATGCAAATATGCTTGCTGCAAAGTATCCTTTTTGGAACCGCACGCATGGAAGGGATCATTTTCTTGTTGCTTGCCATGACTGGGTACAGTAATCTTTTATCCTAGCTCTGAAATAGTTTGGATGGGAGGGTTTGATTTTATTACTGCTACCTATTTTAGGGTCAAAGACCTTTCAGAGTTGAGTTAGCTTTCCTCAGTTTATTTTCTATTTTCTACTTTTTACTTGCTTCTTTTCTAGTATAAATATAATTATTGTTGCTTCAAAAGAGCAACAGCTTTGATGAATGATGCATATCCTTTTCTTCCCAAAACTTCATCATTTTCTCTGCCAATCAGAATATTAGACTACTAGCTAGTGCACTATCTACGAGGTCTATCACATTTTTTTATGATCATAAATTAATGCGTTTATGTATATTCTTCAACAATAGGAGTATTGAAATACCAAACATTCCTTGCATATGACAGCTTTGAGTGTTAAAGGAAATGCTTATAACTTATCTGATGTTGTTCGGTTGAATCTGGCTCATCTTACCTACTAAGGTTGATTTTGAAGAAGTAACACTTGCGGATATAAGGCTTTGACTTTTTTTTTTATTTTTTATTTTTTTGAGACTTTGTTTTATGCAATTTAGTTTGGGATTCTAGATTCTAGTTTACTTGATCTATGGCAGGGTCCGTACACATTGAGTATGCACAAGGAACTAACAAAAAATACCATAAAAGCTCTATGTAATGCTGATGCGTCTGAAGGTATTTTTGATCCTGCCAAGGATGTTTCTCTACCTGAAACAACAATAAGGAATCCTAGTAGACCTCTTAGAAATGTTGGTGGTGGTATAAGAGTATCACAACGCCCGATTCTTGCCTTCTTTGCTGGAAACATGCACGGTAGAGTTAGGCCAATACTTCTCAAGTATTGGCATAACAAAGATGAAAACATGAAAATTTATGGGCCTCTACCAACCGGATTGTCTCGAAAGACGAGTTACATTCAGCACATGAAATCTAGCAGATACTGTGTATGCCCAATGGGTTATGAAGTGAACAGCCCTCGGATTGTCGAGGCCATATATTATGAATGCGTCCCAGTCATCATTGCGGATAATTTTTCCCTCCCTTTCAGTGATGTGTTAGATTGGAGTGCTTTCTCTGTTGTTGTGGTTGAGAAGGATATCCCCAAACTGAAGAAGATACTGCTAGCTATCCCATTGAGAAGATACCTTACAATGCTAACTAATTTAAAAATGCTGCAGAAACATTTTCTTTGGAATCCAAAACCCCTGCAGAAACATTTTTTTCTTTGGGAATCCAAAAACCCTTCAGATTTATGATTTGTCCACATGATTCTACATTCCATTTGGTTTAGCAGAACTTGAATCAGCATTTCAAATTTCAAAGTCATTAGTATTTCTTAAATTACAAGCGCAAAAACATATTAGGGACTGTGGATGATGAGAATGAAAATACTAGTCGAGCCTCGGCGCAGGCTAATGGGTTATGGAACTGATTATTAAGGCAATAATTTGGCTGCTGTACTGGAAGCTGAAATTTGATCAATCCATATCGAGGTAATACTCGTAATTTAGCTATCAGCATTTATTCTTTTAGTTAGAAAATTGTTTAAAAATTATATTTTTGAATCACTCTTTTAAACTATTTGTGCTTCATTCTTCCCTTGACTTGGATGTGAACTTTACTTCTAGACATGGGATTTTCTTTTATTCAAATTTTTAGAAGTTTTTATTGTTGAGTTTCCTTTTGCAGGGAAAGAAGGAAATGGCAGCAGAGCAAACCATGTTGTTGTACATATTATAAGCAAGAACAAAGATTCAAACTTTATTCTACATTGCATTTATTGCAAGATGTCAAAACGTCTTACTTTTTGTTTTTTTTTTACCCTTGAATCTTTTGAGCAAAATGCCTGTGTATTGAAACCCATGGCTCCCATCTAAAATAAAGATTTGCTTAATTATAATTTTATTCAGTGTTTAAGGCCTGTTTATTTGCATGATAGGGTGTTATTTTCTATTACGTTAATTTTAATCATAGTTTTTTATTAGGATTTTTTAGTATTTTTTAATTACTTTAATTAGTTTTTATTTATGTTTATTCAATAAAACTTTCTTCTATATCATATTTTACTGTGATCTTGAGGAATTTGCAAGGATTTTTTATAGAAAACCAGCAAAAAATCAAGATTAAGATTCAATTGTTTTAAGACTTTATTTTTATAGTATTTTAATATAGTTTTTATTAGGATTTTTAGTATTTTTAATTACTTTAATTAGTTTTTATTTATGTTTTTCAATAAAACTTTCTTATATCATATTTTACTTGATCTTGAGGAATTTTGCAAGATTTTTATAGAAAACCAGCAAAAAATGCAAGATAAGATCAATTGTTTAAGACTTTCAGCAAGTAGCACTCCCAGGGCGTGCTACCTGGCAACCCTGTACTATTCTTCATAGTTCAACTTGGGCCGAAATTTTATATGAAGCATGTGCTGTCCAAATGAAGTCCTATTTAGACGCTGGGAGAATCCTAATTGGAAGAAATACAAAGTCTAAACAGTTTCCTATTTCCAAGAGATTTCTTACTAAATAAAGATTCACTTTCCCAAACGAACATATAGATATTTCCAAAAAATTTATAAAGAGGGAGACTAGCCATACTAGGGGTGGAATCCATTCATTGTATATTTTATCTCTTGTTCAGTTGTTCTATTGTTTTCTACATAATTTTTTCTCTCTTTAAGAATTCAAATATTTAAGTTGGTGTTGAGATTAAAAGAAGCCCAGCAAACCAATCATTAATTAGTTTTTATTTTATTTTCAATATTCATGTTGATTATAAGAATTTTTCAAGTTTGATTGAGTTTTAAATAAATTATATATAAGTTATAAATTTTAATGATATGGACAGTTATTATTTTATATTAAAAAATTAAAATTTTTTATATTAAATTAAATTATGTTAAATATAAATTAAATTATGTTAAATATAATGTATAATTTGTCAGTATTAATAATATTGATAAGTGAAAATTTTAATATGATAAGTTGAAGATTTATACAACTCTTAATTATTTAAAATAATTATTTATTCATAGATTTTAATGAAATAACGTGTTAATTGTTTTTTACATTAATTTTAAAATAAACCAAATTAATGAATTTTACTATCTTTCATTTCGCTTTTTTTTTATTTATCTCTATAAATTTCAATATTTTTAATCTATATTCCTGAACATATGCCTAACTATTAATTTTTACTTTAATAATAAAAAATCACGCTATATTTTTTTACTATTGATATATCTTTATAGTGTTTTTTAATAGCATAATAAAAGAAATTCACATAAAAATCTGTAAATATATATATTATTATATAATATTATTATATATATAATATATATATATATTCTCTCAATTTTTACTTTATTTTACTTTTTTTCAAATATGCATTAGCACGAGTACATTTTCTAGTACATAAGAATTTGATAAAATTTTGTAAATATCAAATAGTTAAACAACTAAATACTGGTAAATTTCATTCCATGTGTACTTTTTATTAAAAAAAAAATTTTTTTTATTTATTATGGAACTATTTATGGCTCTAGTGTACTGTCTCAATTTTACTTTATTTTACTTTTTTTTCAAATATGCATAGCACGAGTACATTTCTAGTACATAAGAATTTGATAAATTTGTAATATCAAATAGTAAACAACTAAATACGTAAATTCATCATTGTATTTTTATAAAAAATATTATGGAACTATTTAGGCTCTAGTGTCTGTCTAGCCTATAAAAATGGGTAATGGCATTTTATATTGAAAAAATTATTATTTTTTAAATAAAAAAAGCTAATGAATTAAAACGTTATTTATCAATAATACCCATAAGATGGATCTTATTTATTTCATTTTCTCATTTAAATAATTAATAAGGATAAAATTAGCAAACTTTTAAAATATTTATTTTTATAATTTTTGTATAAAAAATAATATAGACTATTATTTATGTGATGAGGAATCGTATTTACAGAAAAAGAAAAAGAAAAAAGAGTATAAACGACATCGTTAGTTGATTTATTTCCCGTGTGAGACACTCTCACGTGCCACGACTCCAATGGAGCAAAGTTGACCAACAGAAAGCAAGCAGTCAGAAGTTTCAAACACGTCAAAGATTCAAGCTCCAACTAATAAGAAAACGCCACATCATATGCTTGTCCACGTGTAATCCAACCAACAAATTTCACAGCAAATAAGCTACTTGCAACTTCGCAAGTACACTGTACAAAAAGTAAAAAGCCCAGATTATGATTTAATTGACAAACAAGCCACTGAGACAAACTCCAGTGGTCGCCTAATTTTCAAAGACAAGGCGCCACCGATCAGGGGGGTATTAGTGTAACTTCGTGTTTCCCATTTCAGATTCGCTAATAAAAAAAGAAAAGAAATTAAATAATAAGGCAGAATCCTTCAAATTTGTGTGAATTAATTGAATTTCTCAATTCTCGATCTGATCAACTAAATGGAACTGTTCTCCCATTGAACCTCTTAGAAATCGAACTATTTTAGTTCATTCTCGGTCTCTGTTCCTTCACTGCTGAAATCCTCTGTGTTTGCTCTATGGCCGCACCGTTTTTCTCCACTCCGTTTCAACCGTACGTTTATCAGGTACTCTTCTTCTCACTCTCTTTCCTCAATTACAACTGTTTATTCTGGTACGTGGTTTTTGTATGTATTATAGCTTCCCTGTTTTTGGCTAGTGGGAAAATTGAGGTAAGGAAAAGAAAATTGAATTTCGTGTTTGTTTTAGTTATCCATAGAGATGCTTAGTTGATGTGTGTTTAGGTGAATTTAGGGTTCTGGAGTGGTTTTGGTGTTTGATCCGTGTAGGTTTGCATGCATTGTTGGAGATCGTGTTGTTATTTATTTTTGTATTTAGGGTTAAACTTGGTGGAGATGAGTTTGTTATCCAATTTGATAACTGCTTCATAATATAATATATGATCCTTACCTGAACGTGATTTTTGTGCAAATTATCATATTGGAAATATACATACGTGGAGGATAGAATGTAGTAGTTTGTTTGTTTGAAAAATCCAGATGACAAAGTGAGAATTAATATTGTACGGAATTTGAGGGAAGCAAATAGTTTAATGATACTGCGTAATGAATTTAGTTGAGCAATGATATGTTATGGGAAGAAAAAATTTGAATTAATATGCATATGGTATGTAAGTTGAAACTTTATTTGATTAGAAGTTAAATTGTTAAAATGGAAAATAACCATTTGGGAATACAAAACATAGAAGATTAATCAGGAATATTCACTTGTGTGTACGTGTAACATAATGAAGTTTGGAATAGAATAACGATTCATGATTGAGGTGTTAAGATCTGCGCTATATTGTGCTGCATTCTAAGGGGAACAACAAATGCCTGTGGATCATAAACACCATACACATTAGACATGTTTGCTTCCCTCTCTTTCTTAAGCAGGATCCTCTATTTTTTTTGGGATGTTACATTACATGTGGAAGAAGACACCAAACTCATAGTGAGCTTGTGCCTTATTTTGGACCTTGGTAGGCATTCTGTGGTACAACCCCTTAAGAAATGCACTGCTCTGCAGAATATAAGTAATAATAGCTCTTAGAGTTAGTTTCATTATGTAAAAGTCTAAATTGATATAGCAGCCATCTTGCTTTGGTATCTGCATTCTTGAGCAGGTATATAGTAGTACCATGATTTCACTTGATCTTCCTGAGGGTCAAATCTCCTTGATTGACAGCGGCCACTTCTCATCAGGATAGCCATTATTCAATAAGGAACCAATCACCTCATTACGACCTGGGTATATGTTTATAGGTTAGCTGCCCCCCACCTTCCTCCCTCAACTCTTTCTCTTCCCTTTTTCTCCTCTCTTGCATGCTCAGACCATTCTTCTACTAATAAATTTAAGTTAGCCATAACTATGCTAACAACTGCTCCTCTGATATGTTGTATAACCTATCCTGTTAGTCTTGGACCAATTGGATCCTCAACCACACGACCCGCCCCCCTCTTTCTTTCTTTTTTTTTTTTTTTTTTTTTTCTTGGACCAATTGGATCCTCAACCACACGAACCCGTCCCCCCCCTCTTTCTTTCTTTTTTTTTTTTGTTTTTTTTTTTTCATGTTTTTTTTTTTTTTTTTTTTTTCATGTTTTCACTCCTTTTCTCCTCTCTTGCATGCATACCATTCTTCTACTAATAAACTTAAGTTAGCATATCTATGCTAACAGTTGCTTCTCTGATATATTGTATAACATATTATTGTGTTAGACTTGGACCACTCGGGTTCCCCCTCACCCTCACCTGCCAAGAAAAACCCCTCTCCTCTTTCCTTCTGCCCTTAAGCTGCTTTTCATCTATAAACTACCATGAATGTGTATTTTGAGTGCTAACATATATTCCTCCCTTTCCCATTCAATGGCCATACCTGGAGTCCTAAATATTACCCACACCATCTTGCCTAGTGAGACTTGTTCAGTGTTCACAATTATTATTCTTCCTCTAGGCATTATAGTGCCAGCTAAAAAAAGGTTTCTTCTTCTTCTTTTTTTTTTTTTTTTTTTTTTTTTTTTTTTTTTTTTTTTTTTATTTGAAACCTGGGTACTGTGCCAGGTCACATGTGTTTTTTTTTTTTTTTTTTTTTTTTTTTTTTTTTTTTTATTGAACCTGGGTAGTGCCAGGTCACATGTGCATTTATTGCTAGACTATGCATGCGTGCGCAAGTTAAATGAGCAGTTTTATAATGGGAAGAAACCTATGATTTTACCTTTACAGTTTAATTTGAAAATTCTCCTGTTAATTGTCTATAAAATATGTTGTAGCACTTGACCACAGATATTAGGTTTTGGCTGTATTGTGACTTAAATGAACGCTGTCACTAGGTAATAACAACATTTTCCTGATGGACTATACCCCAAGAGCTGCTTTTATATTTGGAAGGTTTTCTCTGGTTATTTGTTTCATTTTTTCTAGGAGTTGAAAATTTGATTGATGAACAGTGGTGTGTTTTGATGAATTATAAAGACTGTTATTTGTGTTATTGGCCTTTTAGTTTCATTTCCGTTCTGTTTATGGAGACTGGTTTGATTTAGGGTTTGCCAATGTCTGTTCCTTTTCTGCGTTGTATAAAATACTTGAGAGCCTGTAGATCTTTTGATATTACGTGTTATGTATCTCATGAGGAATAATGCACTGTAGAGTCAGCAAGATGCGGTTATACCTTTCCAGATTTTGGGTGGTGAATCGCAGGTGGTTCAGGTTTGTGCAATAACTTTCCTAAGCTACATCCTAATTTTAGATTTCTGCTCTAAATTTTCTTTATTGGTATTGGTCCTTGCATGGTCAGATAATGTTGAAGCCACAAGAAAAGGTTGTTGCAAGACCAGGTAAATTTTTTTTTTTTTAAAAAAAAAAAAAAAATCTTTGCAGTAGTTTTTGCAGCTGACTTACCTTATGGGTTTAAATTATGAAACATGTCCTCTATTATTATTCATAAAACTAATAGGCAGTGAGATTGTAGGTTCTATGTGCTTTATGTCTGGATCTGTTGAAATGGAAAATATCTACGTTCCTGAGAATGAAGTGGGTATGTGGCAGTGGCTTTTTGGGAAGACTGTCACAAGTATAGTCCTCCGTAATGCTGGTACAAATGATGGATTTGTTGGAATTGCTGCACCTTCTCTTGCAAGGATTCTCCCGGTTAGTTCTTCAAGCTCTACCAGATTCTTTAAATAATGCATCCATTGAGGACAGAGGTTGTATTATAATCAGGTTCATGGTGCTAAATTAAGTATGTAAACTATTGATTGATTTGTATCTGGCTTTTAATTTTGTAGATTGATTTGGCAATGTTTGGTGGAGAAATTTTATGTCAGGTAGATCTAACTCGCATTCTTTATTTGTTCCTTTTTTTGTTGGTTGGCTGAGGAAGTGTTCTATAGCATTTTTCTTCTATATTCCGTCCTGATACAATTTAGTTGCATTATACTGGTTGCTGATTTCTGTGGTGAATTACCTTTGGCTGTTTCCTTACTTTTACAAGCTGCAATTTTATGTGACTATATCAATATTTTATGTAGCCAGATGCATTCCTTTGCTCTGTCAATGATGTTAAGGTCAGCAATTCAGTTGATCAGAGGGCACGTAATGCCATGACTACTGCGGAGGTGAGATAATGCTGGTGGTATATGATTGCTTGCCATTGGTCCTTCAAGTAATAATTGTTCTGTTGTAAACCTTGTCCAATTATTAGTGGTGGTTATTGTTATCGTCTCTGATTTCTCTATATCCATCCTTTTGATGGGCATGTCAACGTCATTACTAGGGATTTTTGAGACAGAAGCTATCTGGACAGGGGCTTGCATTTATTCTTGCTGGAGGATCTGGTATGCATCTTCTGACATTACTAGATAACTAATACGTGGTCTTCTCAGAGTTAGGCTCAAACCTGTAATATGTGAGAATGCATTTGAAAGAGAGATGAGTTCGATTTTTTGAATGTTTTGGCCAGCTCAGTTATGAGTTCTTCATATTTGCCTTGCCCACCGGCTTGTTTCCTTGTCTTAACATAATTCCGTATCTCTGTTATTGATTATTGACTAATTACATTTGTTTATCACTTGTGTTGCAATAGTTTTTAAATCTCTTTTTCTCAGACTAACCATGAGAATTTTATGGATTTGATCTTGCTAGTCATACAGAAAAATCTTGAGGTGGGTGAGGTGCTATCTGTTGACGTATTATGCATTGTGGCTCTTAATACCACAGTAAACGTCCAAATTAAATACAATGGCCCAATCAGAAGGGCTGTCTTTGGGGTAACTTGCCTCTTCTTTTCTTATTTTACTCTTTATCTTCCTTCACATCCCCATCTTGTCACTGGAATCAGACATTTGCTTTTCATTTATTGTTGGAAACCTTATTTATCAAATTCAGAAATTCTGGCTGGTTCATATATAATGGACAAGAAATGTTACTAAAGATTGTTGCGTAATAAGACATTTGTGTCCGTTTCTTCACTGGAAAACGGCAAAATCTAGGACCACATTATTTTTGGTCCATCTTAAATACAAGTCCATGTTTACCTTTTGATACTTTAGGCACAGTTAAAAACTAACACCTGGAATTGGTCTTACTTGAATACTTAATCTCTTCCAATAAAAGAACTAGCTGTTCTTAGCTGATGCTGTGAAATTGCAGGGTGATAATTTAGTGACAGCGACTCTAACGGGACCAGGCATTGTCTTTATCCAGAGTTTACCGTTTCAACGATTTTCTCAGCGCATTGCTAGGTAACATCATTTTGCTGCATCAGTTGCAGTGTCTTTTTGTTTGTGTTTCCGACTGTGATATTGTAGAGTTTGCTGCATCCGTAACTTAAAGGTTTGACGCAGACAATATCTATTCCAATGACCGACGGTTGTGAATGGTTTGTGGTTTTCAGGGCAGTGACGTCCCCAAACATGAGAGAAAATCCAAAGTTCTTCGTTCAGATAGCCATTTTCTTTTTTCTGGCATATGTTGTGATTGTATCTTCATTAATTTTGACCGATGTGTGAATTATGTTATTTGATAGTGTCCATTTCCTCTTGCTTCCTGTAGGGAACCCCACACAGCAGTCCTTTATCAACCATTGTACTACTGCAGTTTATTTAACTTCAATATAGTCAAATCAATAGAAACAAAGTAATTCGAGTTGGCTTTCTTGGATTTACATTGATTATTCTTTGCACGATTTGGGAATGGATTTTTGAATCATATGTAGAGCATAGATTGTGCGGATAGGCAACCAAATTCGGGAATCTCTGACAATTACAAATCCAAAAAGATATAAAGAAGAATAGGATAAAATAACGAAGCAATTGGAGTAGAAGATGATATTCAGGATGATTTTTTTTAAACTTAAAAAAAAAAGATATAGAAAATAATAATAATAATGACAATAATAAATAATTAAAAATAATTGCATATTTATTGTAGGTAAAATGTGTTTTTGTTTACAAGTAAAACACCTATTTTATTTATGATTATTTGGTATAAATTGTGGTCTATCTTCTATTTCTCAATACCTTTTTATCCTCAAAATCCAAAATTAAAATTTACCAAAAAAAAAAAAATCCTAAAATTAGAGTAGAATAGCATTGTTACAAAACTAAAAATGAAATTTACCTTGTTACAAAATATTTAATTAATTAATAATTAATAATTTACAAAATATTCAAAGAAGACTTTTTTGAGTTAAATATTTGCAAAATATTAAAAAACATACTTTTTTTTTTTTTTTTTTTTTTTTTTTTTTTTTTTTTAATAATTAATTAATTTACAAAAAATATTCAAAGAAGACTTTTTTTGACGTAAATATATTGACAAAAATATTAAAAAAACATACTTTTTTTTTTTTTTTTTTTTTTTTTTTTTTTTTTAAGTTGGATGGGCTAGGCTTGTTTTTTTTTTTTTTTTTTTTTTTTTTTTTTTTTTTTAAGTTGGATAGGGCTAGCTTGTCCCAACAAATAACTCGGCCCAGGATAAACTATCGCTGAGCGCCCACCTCATATGACTTATGAGGGGATTTATCCCAAACAACGCATCAATTAACAAGAGAGCGCGAGCAGCCATTCGTGAAACAAGACCATAAACCGGTTCACCGCAAACAAAAACCATTATCAAGACCTTTATATATCCTAAAAACTGAAGCTTTCTACATTGTCTCCATACCTTTACCAATTCCATAACCACCTGAAAGGCACTCGTCTATGTCACTAACCCTAACCCACGATGATAATTGCCACTTGGAGTTCTCGCTCAGGCACGTTTAATTCTTCCAAGAGCCTTCTTTGAATCTCTCGAATTTTAGGGTTTTCTAGACAGAGATTTCGCCTTTCATTGTTGAAGAAAAAGTTTTCAAGCTCGTTATTCTCTCTCTCTCGATTTTTTCAATCGGCGATCGAAGATTTTTCTCTCGTGGTGTCGGCTTCCCGGATTCATCGTTGAAGATTTGGATCGCCATTGTTTTATCTGATTTGTGTGTGTCGGTCTTTTTAAAGTGAAGATTGGGGATTGTTTCTCCTGTTAATGCGATCTGTGAATTCTCATTGAAAGCCCCATGAATTTTTCTCGGGGTTGAATGAATTGTCCGAATACTGTGTATCTCAAGTGGTTATTGCTGGCTTAAGACGCTTTCTGGTATATTGTTGATCGGTTGAAAGTTCCAACACTTTTGGCTTTATCACGTAGAGGTAGAGGCGAGGAGCGGGAAGAAGAAGGAATCATCGAAGAGACCTTCATTAGTTGGTTTGATTGTCCTCTCTTGAGTACTTGAAGAAAGATAGAGAAAAAAAAAAGTTCATCTTTGTATTGTTATATTTTTGTTTGAATTCAGTTGAATATCAGGCCACTTTTTTTTTTTTTACGGGCCATTCATTGCTTATAGTTTATCTATCTAGGCTTCTTGTGTGTGCTATATCTTTTGATTATATTTTATAAAATTTAGTGACAAAAAAAAAAAAAAAAAAAAAAAAAAAAAAAAAAAAAGAGAAGCAATGGCTGTGTATTTACCAGTTTAGAGTGCAGAGTTATGATTCTAATTCCCAATGGACGCGTCCTTTATATCGGTTGGTACTTTGAAAGAAAAAATTTTTGAATCAAAGCATTTGGGCAGGGGGAAAAAAAAAAAAAAAAAAAAAGAAGCAATGGCTGTGTATTACAAGTTTAAGAGTGCAAGAGATTATGATTCAATCCCAATGGACGGTCCATTTATATCGGTTGGTACTTTGAAAGAAAAAATTTTTGAATCAAAGCATTTGGGCAGGGGTACCGACTTCGACCTTGTGGTCACTAACGCCCAAACTAATGAAGGTTGGTGTTATTCTATTATAGTTTTAATCAATCCTCAACTGAATTTAAACTTTCTAGGGTCTTCGACTTTTGTTGGTTTAACAATGGTTTATTGTTCTATTACTTGATTTATTTCACTTTATGTTTAGTCAATTAAGTCTGTTCGCAGCCTCAAGTTAATGGTAAAAGCACTGTATTCAGGGATCTTCCTCTAGCTTGTTACTCATAGTTTACTGCTGAGGTTGTGCCTGAGGGTTCAGCAATTATGGATGGATTTGATGAAAAAGGTTTTCTTTGGTTATTAATGAAAAGGAACAAAAAAAAAAAAAAAGCAATAATGTATAGTAGTTAAGGTGATCTTTTTGACCCTATCATATTGGGAAGAACTGCGTGAGAGATTGCATGACTATACATAGTGGAAACCAAATTGCTTCACTTATCAAGCTATGGTTATTGGGGTTTATTTGTTTTGGTCTAGTTTTCATTATTTGGAATAAGTGACTGGCTCCACTATGGGGATTATGTTTGGATAAATTGTAAGTTTGGTTTCCTTGTTTATTATCCTTTCAGTGTTTATAGGTTTGTTATTCTCTGTTTTGCAATTTCAGAATATCTTGATGAAGCAATGTTAATCCCAAAAAATACCTCTGTGTTAATTCGTCGGGTTCCAGGAAGGCCTCGCATGCCCATTGTTACTGAGCAAGAGTACTATCTCAACCCTTTAATATTTTGTTCACTTAACCAACTTTCTTTAAATTAGATCAATTTAAAGAAAATTCTGATCATCATATATTGTAGGAGTCTAATTTGCCGATAAAAAGGTGTCTGTCCTTGGTTTAATATTGTAGATGTATTGCAATGGTAATTGCAAATTATGAGGGCTTGCCATGAGTTTGGTCATGTTATATTTTGCAGGCCAAAGGTAGAAACTAAGGTGGATGACACACCAGTAGAAAAGAGTAGTTTTATGACTGCTGAGACATCTGCCATGAAATATGTAAGCTTCAGAGCGAACAATGTTTGCTTGCATTTCAATCTAGTGATGTGCATTCCATAATTGCAATTTATCAAGGTTGGATAATAATTTGACTTTACAGACTGAAGATACTGACTGGGATGAGTTTGGGAATGACTTGTATGCAATTCCTGAAGTACCAGTTGTTCAATCTAACAATGCAGTTCTTGATGCTCCTCCTACCAATAAGGCTGATGAAGACAGCAAAATAAAGGCATTGATTGATACTCCGGCCTTAGATTGGCAACGGTTAGATGCCCTTATTTTGTATTATCTGATAAATGTATTGATTATTACTGCCTTTGGAAATTGTTTTTGTTGCTATATATGCTAAATTGTCTGCTGGATCTGCAGTCAAGGTGCTGATGGATTTGGCCCTGGTAGAGGTTTTGGAAGGGGTATGGGTGGAAGAATGGGTGGACGTGGCTTTGGTGATTATCTTATACCTGTCTTTATGTGTGTGTGTGTCTGCCTGCATACCTTTCCTACTAATTTTAGTATTCATCACTTCACTGAGATATTTCCTTCTGGTTATTCACGAATGTAAATTTATTTCCAATATTTATTATTGAAAACTGAAATAAATATGTCTTTTGTTGAGGTCGATTAGGGTTGGAGCGAAAAACGCCTCCACAAGGCTATGTATGTCACAGGTGCAAGGTGCCAGGTATGTATATAAATGTAAAAGATGGGCCTTCAGTATCAATCATACAGGGAGAAGAAAAATATTTCTTCTTGGTATGTGCTTGTCTGAAATTGAGCTTATTTGCCTACTTCCTTGACTCAGGACATTTTATTCAGCACTGTCCTACAAATGGTGATCCAAACTATGATATCAAGAGAGTAAAACCTCCTACTGGTATTCCAAAGTCAATGCTAATGGCAACCCCTGATGGTTCATATGCATTGCCTAGTGGTGCAGTTGCCGTTCTGAAGCCCAATGAGTAAGCTCACTATGTTCTGTGATCTTGTATTTTTCATCCACATAGTTATAAAAATGTGTTAATCAGCTTGAAGTCCATCATAACTTGTTAAATCTGTACAGGGCTGCTTTTGAGAAAGAAATTGAAGGCTTACCTTCGACACGATCTGTTGGTGATCTTCCACCAGAACTTCACTGCCCATTGTGCAAGGAGGTTATGAAAGATGCTGTATTAACAAGCAAATGTTGTTTCACGAGCTTTTGCGATAAGTGTAAGTTATAAATTTTGCCCCATGTTTTCATATTGTTTCTTTTAATGCAAATCAGGATGCAGATAGTAGCATAACGGTTCACTGCAACACTCAGCAATTTGGCATACTTTTTTGAATATTGCTTTCCCTTGCTTAATAAAAGCAAGAGATGTGAACTTCCATGCTTTACTGCAATAATATAAATGATTTGCTTTACTGCAATAATATAAATGATTTCTTTATCTCAGGAATATAGCTTTTTTCTACATTCATCATGCGCTCATCCTTTGTTCTAATCAACCCAGGTATAAGAGATTATATAATCTCAAAGGCAAAGTGTGTGTGTGGCGCAACAAATATTCTTGCTGATGATCTTCTTCCAAATAAAACGCTTAGGGATACAATCAACCGTATTTTGGAATCTGGTAACAGTAGTGCTGAAAACGCAGGAAGCACCTTTCAAGTTCAAGGTTGGTTTTCATAAGTTGAAATTCACACACATAAGGTTATGTAAGGACAATATCATCCTTGTTTTTCTACTTCAGATATGGAGTCTGCTCGCAATCCACCTCCTAAGATTCCATCACCTACACAGTCTGCTGCATCTAAGGAAGAGCAGAAGCCCCCTCCTGTTATGAAAGAAACTGCAATTCCAAATACGAAGGAAAAAGTAGACGAGGAGAAGCCGGTTGTCCTCATACAGCAAGTTCCTGAGAAGCCAAAGATTCCTAAAGTAGCTGATGTATCTGAAGCTACCCATGAGTCAATGAGTGTGAAGGAGCCAGCATCACAAGGTAGTGCTCCACTGGCCGAGGAGGAAGTGCAGCAGAAGCTGGCTCCCAGTGATCCAGGTACTGGTTTATCCTAAATTTATTCACTGGTGTATGAGATAGGAGATGCCAAGTAATCCTCTACTTTCTCCCATTTAATAATACTTGATACTATCCATCCCTCCTGTCTTCAGTTCTTCAGGTAAATATCTCATGACAGTGGTCTAACTAATTATGCTCTTTGCTCTGTCAGGGAAGAAAAAGAAAAAGAAAAAGGTCCGCATGCCTCCTAATGGTAGGTTATTGTTTTTTGTAAACTTGCCTTGTTTAGTAGGAGATTCTCCAATATTCATGTCCATCAGGACATGCTATTGGATAATTTATTGTGCATTTAAGCATCTTATTAGTTGATGGTATGAAGATTATTAGTTACTACTGGCAATGCTTCAGATTTGTGGAGAGCCTCTCAAGACCTCGCAGCTGAGAGTTATATGATGCCTCTTGGCCCATCTCCCTTCAATAATCCTTTTTGGAATGGCATGCAACCTGGTATGGAAAGTTACATGAATCCTTATGCTGCAGGTCCCATGCCCTTCATGGGTTATGGACTCGGCCCTTTGGATATGCCATTTGGGGGCATGATCCCTCCAGACCCCTTCAGTGCACCAGGTTATATGATGCCAGTTGTACCCCCTCAGAGGTATGAGCAATGTGTTGTTGTTGGTATTTTCAATTTTTTTCTCTCTGAATTACTTGGATTATTGCCTTCTATCTTCTTTAGGGATCTTGCAGAATTTGGAATGGGCATGAATGCTGGACCACCAGCAATGAGCAGGGAGGAATTTGAGGCTCGGAAAGCTGATTTGAGGAGGCGGCGTGAAAATGAGAGGCAAGCTGAAAGGTAATACAATTTTGTAGACTTAAAACAAAAGACGTAGATATCTGTGAAGGTTTTTTGATGTGGAGTTCTGAAGTTAGACTTTTTTATACACAGATGTTAGTGAACCTAGGTTGGAAATTTTTTGCTTAGGATACTTATTTACCTCACTTCTACGGAATATCACTGAATCATAACCTCGAGGATAGGAGTTATTCTGTGCCAGATATTGTATGGGACCAGAATATAGTGACCATTTAAGTCCCTTTTATACTACTCTATGAAGTGAAAGCAAGCTCTCATGTATTCTTTTGTTGCGTGGAATGTGTGATGATTGTTGGTTATCTATATTACAGCTAGTCCTTCAAATTTTATTTGTTACATGATTGAAATGTTCAATGTCTTTCTGCATCAGGGAGTTTTCCAAAGAGAGAGAATTTGGTAGAGAAGTGAGCAGCACTGGTGATATTTCTTCGATGAAATCTGTATGTGTTCTTTATTGTTTAAATTACTGTTTCTCCCTCATTTCCATGTACTGTAGTGGTTATCTTCTGTGGCGTCAAGCAAAATTTCGCAAGATAAGACCCTTTCTTTTTGCTTTTTTGTCAAGAAAAATGGAAATAAAAAATAGATTCTTCCTGCAGTTAGGTTGAGAAAAATCCTTTTTTCATCTGATCCTTTTTCATAAGCATTTGAAATTGGAAATTCATAGTTTGTAGCAGCATCCTCCTAGTCCCCCATCCCTCTCCTGTTCCTCATTCTTCCAAAAAAGACATTTAGGCATTGAGGGGGTAGAGAAACGCATGGAACCATCTGCAGCTTTTGGCGAGAGCAGACAGCCACAGATACTCAGCCCGCCTTTAAGGCTGTGGCCTCCCTGTGCTTTTCTCTCGCAGCCTCTCCTTTCTATTTTTTTATTTTATTTTTGTCTTATTATTATTATTATTATTATTATTCCTTTTTTCATATGCGGGTTCCTTGATTAAAAGTTTCCATTTATTTTTAGCTTAAGAAACTGATTCCCTCTAGATGTAAAGATTCATCAAATACGATCTTAAATAAATAATTTGAATCTTATTTACTAGGTTGAAAAAATGTTCAATTTTTAACTCGAAATTTAACACTCTTCTTGAAGACCTAGCCGGATGCCACTTTTAAATGATAATAATACAATCAAAAGTCAACATTAAAAAAAAAAAAAAAAAAAAACTCGAAATTTAAAACACTCTTCTTGAAGACCTAGGCCGGATTGCCACTTTATGATAATTCATCAAAAGTCAACATTAAAAAAAAAAAAAAAAAAAAAAAAAAAAAAAAAAAAAAAAAAAAAAAAATTGGAACCAAATGGTAAAGTTCCAGAGAACAATGTTCTTACCAAAAATAAAAAAATGTAAATAAAGGTAAAGTTTATTGAAAAAATGCAGCAGCAAAAGTGTACTAAGTAGTGAACATTTAACAATTGCTGTTTTCCTTGTTAGCGGGTTGAAGTAATTAAAGGGCATGTTCCGTGGCCCATGTACAAATTGATGGACTTTCGTAGTTATTCTAAGGGGGCCTGTGCTGTGATCCTTCGGGATTTAATTTTTGTACGTATAGCTTACTATATTGAGCACAACTACTTGCTTCTAATTTATTTTTGCTGTTGGCCCAGAAATCAATTCCGCCATCTTCAAGTGGTGATCCTCATCCTCACCACCGCCATAGACCTGAGAGGCCGTCGCCTGCACGAGAGCTTGAGCCACCGCCTCCTCCACTGCCACGTCCTTCCAAAAGAAAATCCGACCATGACAGAGATCGCGATTATGACTACCACGACTATGATCATGACAGAGATAGAGATAAAGACAAAGCTGAACGCGATCACCGTCGCCATCATCACCACCATCACCGATCAGAATCCTCTGCAAAATCCTCCTCTGAGACGGCAGTTAAGCCTGCTTCAGCAGCAACAATAGCAGACCGCAAGAGTAAAGCAAGCGTTTTCTCTCGCATTAGCTTCCCGGAAGGAGAAACAACCACAAAGAAGCGGAAGGTGTCTTCGTCAGGTGAAGCTACTGCGACAGCAGCCTGTGGTCCCCCTTCATCTTCTACTCATCATAAGTCTTCTTCGTTAGCTAATGGCCATTACGATTCGTCTTCGAAGGCTGCATCAGTTTCTGCTGGCGGTGGAGGCAAAAAGGGTAGCACTGCTGTCATGGACTATGAATCTAGCGACGATGAAAGGCATTTTAAAAGGAAGCCATCGAGGTATGAGCCCTCGCCGCCTCCGCCGGTGGGGTGGGAAGAGGATGCTAAGCATTCAAGAGGGTCGAGGGAGAGGGAGAGGGAAAGGGAACGCAAGCATAGATAAAGGAGGGAAATTGAAGAAACGCCTCTGCCATTCCTGGAAGCTGCAGCGCGTGGCTATGGAGGCAATTGGTGCCGCCCTCCTGAAAGCCATAGATGGGGTATAATTGTCGCCGCGAGGGACTATTGTAAATGAATTGCAAGGCGATGATTCCTATGCTATGTTTTCCTCAAACATTTGCAATATTTGAGTCTGTCCTTACATTTGGATATTTATGATTAAGAATATAATAAACCATTTCATTCCACATATAATCTTTTAATAATTTATTTATTTGTTATGATATCATAACTCTATTGAATGTTTTCTATTTTTGTTGTCCAAGATCATTGGGGTAATGGTAAATGACTTGTTTAGTCCCTCAAGTTTGAGTTTTATTATAATTATCCCCCTTTTCTTGTTTGGTTGATTTATCTTTACAGTTTAATCATAATAAACTTATTAGTGCTTTACTTTTAAATGGTTTAATAAAATTAAATCTTAGAAATATAAAAATTTTTTGAATGAGGGATTATATAGTTATATACCCTTAGTCGAGGTCATTCTTTTACATCCTACAGCTTGTTTAATACTTGATCCGTCTTGAAAATGGCCAAATCCAGAGCAAGAATCAACATAAACTCAAATAGTTCTTGTTCCATGCAGTGATAGATATATTAAATTAAAGGTCAAGATCTCAAATATGATTATTTGTACAAACCTTTGTGGCTCTCGTTTTGCTTACTGCTTAATGAAGACAATTAGGTTTAACCATATGTTAATGTTTTATGAGGTTACATTGTTGGGATGTTTAACCGAGGCTTGCCAAAACTAAAGGAGTCCAGCCAGCCAAAGTAAAATCAATCAGACCAAACATCAACTGGAGTGATCTTTTTGCCATCTTGCTGTTGTTTTAGGTATGTTCCATTGTAAATGGCCTAAGTTCAGTACCATGATCTCTAAGGTCTTCAACACATATAATCATTTTTAATATTCTCATGCAAAAGGGAAGAAAACTTGACAGTTGAAGTCTATGATAATTGAGCATGTAACTTCTGCAATGTCAAAATTACCATGGAATGTTTTACTTGGGCCCAGCCACTGCAACACAACTAGCCACATACAAGAAAAGAAACTAAAAAGCTAAAAGCTTCAGCACACATTTACTTTGAAAGTCTGAGATATCGGTAAAAGAAATCAACTAAGCTATGCTGCCCCTGATCTGTGAATCCTGCTAGTAATGCCCATAGTAGAAAAAACACCTGCAAACAAAGAAATAATATGTAAAGAGAAAACCTAACCAATAGAAAAGTAGTTGACATTGACGAGTCTATAATAAACTAATAAGGATAATGAGATATCAGGCAACCGAAGTTGCATACTTGCATGAGTTAAGCAAAATGAAAATCAACTGATATGATATTTATATAGTTGGGTAATTTATCTACCAGCTACAATATTAACTTCAGAAATAATAGCATTACATGAGCACGCTAGCATCTACGGTAGCCATAATAACATATCAAAAACCTAATAGTTACATAACATGTATATGTGAATAACCTTGATCTCTTTGTCTCTGAATGCTTTAGGACATCTATGGACTCATCCAAATAAAAATAAACAAATAAATTTTCACACTCTTCCTCTCCTGGAACCTAAAGTTCTTACTGAATTATCTCTTCTTAGCATCTCTCTATAATAATGTCATTATGGTTCTTATTCTGAACCAGAAAGCTATTTATTTAATTAAAAAAGCCCAATAAATAAGCATCAATAATCGTTTCAATTTTGCAATCTCTCCATTAACTATGGTTACTTACATACAACTTGCAAAAGAGCTAATTTGCGGTAACCATATCAATATTTCCATCTGCTCAGTAACAGGAATATATAACATCAATTACTATAACAAAAATGTTGCTTCATATTCCTACAACATGCCATTAAATGCAAAGTTTATACCAGAGGCAACCCTCATTGCTCCCGAGTCTAGTCAAAAGTATATGTTCATCCAAAAAGTTGCAAGTTGCTACAACATATCATATCATATCATGATCCTAATGTGACAAACTGAATGCTTCAAATGAACAAACTCATAATATTTGCCATTGTTGTGCTACATAAACAAAAATCTGGCACAACCCAAAAAATCTCAATGAAATATAATCCATAGAGTTTGAAATTCAAGTAAACTTCGTTTCAGACCAACAATTTAGGCAGCATACATTGAAGACTTTTGCTAGAGAATGGTGAGCCATAAGCACTTAGAGGAAAAACCAGCACATCTAGTTAGCTAAATAAACATGAAAGTCATCATTTAGTGAATTCCTTATGAAAGTCATCACTCAGTAAATTCTTCATTATAAGAATACGTTCATGGAATTTTTACAAACAAATTAAGGTTCTTTGCAAAACCAAAACCAAAGCAAAATTCACGCTCAGCCTACACAAAAATAAGCATTCTTTGATTTCTTTCCATAAAATTAAAAATCCAAGCTTATAAACCAATGCAACTGAAATTTCCATTTCTAAAGTACTAATTTCAGTACTGCATTCTATTATGTATATATATATAAAAAAAAAACACAGACCTTAATTGTTAAGCGGATTATGATGGGATCATCCCCGTCTTCCTCGCGTAGGCAAAAATCCCTCCAGCCTCAATCACCGGACCAGCATCTCCAATGGGCTTAAGTATGTATTCCTTTCCAGTCGTGTGATTAATCAAGCGACCCTCTGCAAGCTCAATGGTCACCACATCCCCAGTTTTGCATTCCTCACAAATCCTAACCTCTGATTCCAGAGGATAAATTTCTCCGGTGGCCACCGAGTTCCTGAAGAAGATCCGAGCATAAGATTCCGCAACCACAGCCGCAACGCCAGCCGCACCAAGAGCCACCGGCGCGTGCTCACGCGATGATCCGCATCCAAAATTATCGCCTCCAATCACTATTGAGTATTTGGTCTTCGTTTCACCCGGTTCAATGAACCTGGTTTCATAAGAGGCTGGAAGGCCAATTAAGGCATAAGAGCCAAGCTTTTCGTATTCGGCTGGGTTTGAAGGTACAAGGGTTAGATACTCGGCGGGAATTATTTGGTCGGTGTCGATGTTGTCTCCAACAACGTAGCAGAGTCCATGAAAAGTGGTTGCGATTGTGGAAGTGGTGGAAGAGGGAGTGGCGGTGGAGCGTGGAACGAGGACAGAACGCGCGTTGGAGGTGAGCGGTTTGAAGGTTGAGTGTGGATGAATAGAGGGGAGTTTTATAGACCGAGGAGATGAGAAAGAAAGGGAGGGTTTGGAAATGGAGGTAGCTATTGATGCTTTAGGCTTTAGCGAGATAGTTGAGGCAGCGGTCGCCATTTTTGGTACAGCAAATTGCAGAGGTTGCAAGACAGATCCAAGGGGAAAACTGAATGGAGCTCCGGACGTAATTTCTTAAACAATAAATTAAGTGGAAATTGTTAGCTATTGATATTCTGCCACGTATAAAAGAGTTGATGATCAGGAGCCGCCGGTCTGGGCTATATATGGCAAAAAAAAAAAGTCATAACCTAACTCGTACTATTTTTACAAATCCCTTATTGGGCCTGGGCTTGAGCCATGCTCTAATTGTATAATCACTAACCCTTGAGACAATAATACGATGTCGATTTATCCGTGAGTAAACGCCCCATCTCTGACGAAAATGGACGGCCTGGATCTCCAGTCTGCAGTTTATAAAGAAGACTAGGGTTTCCTCCCCAAACCCTTAGCGCTTTCTCTTAGGAGGTGGAACTCTACTCACTAGAAGCGCAGCCCGGCTCAGCTCCGATCCAATGGGTACACACCCTCACTCTGCCCCTCTAAACTGATAGTTTCTCGTTGCTCATGCATGCTTCAGTTCCAATGGCGCCGTGTCTTTTACTGATTGTAGAGTTACTGAGTTAGTTATTTTTTGTATTTAAATGTTTCATATCCTGTTTTCGAGTGTCGATGTCACCATTCGTTATCGCACAGTTGATCATTTCCATTTCCACTCTTACATGCTATCCATTTTAATATTCTTTTATTCTAACAAGGTTAAATGTGTTTTGATGCTCTTGGATTTGTTAAAGAGAGGTGTATTATATTATTTAGCTCTAGGTTAGATTGCTGAGATATATGTTTCTTGGTCTCTGGTAAATAGAAAATGCTCATGTTAAAAAGCTAACTTGATATTTGTGTTCTTGTTTTACTATTTCGAACGTCAATGCTATGGACCCTGTAGCTCTATAGTTGCATTTTTCGTTACAAAACACTAGCTTGCTTATATGTTCTAATTCTGAAGGGCATTTTCCCTTGAATTCACCCAACGAAATGCAAAATAGAAAAATGGGTTTTGTGAAATGCTGAAATTAAATTGTTTTAAAACTAAGACTGTGTTTTGACATTATTGTTTTGATGAAAATAGGGGCGTACAAGTATGTCTCTGAGCTATGGAGGAAGAAACAGTCTGATGTCATGAGGTTTTTGCAGAGGGTAAGGTGCTGGGAATACCGTCAGCATCCTTCAATTGTCCGTGTGACCCATCCAACCCGTCCTGACAAGGCTCGTCGCTTGGGCTATAAGGCCAAACAGGTAGGGCAGGGATCTCGTAATTTGTGTCTTGTAGTTATTTGATCTCATGGTGTAATGTTCTATTCTCGTGTTTTTGGATAGTTTTTCAATGTTATATTCCCATCTCAAAGTTTAAAGAGAGAAGCTTATTACATCTTACTTATTTCTATTTTTTGTTTACTTTCAAGCTCTCAACTATTTATTTTGTGGTGGCTAAGGAGATCCGTTGAAGTTGGCAATTACTTTTGGCAGCTATATTTTGGGTCTTTTCCAAGTTTTATTTTATTTTATTCGGATGTTATTTCATTGCTGCTCGTTAGGTACTTTATTTTGGCATAAGTTGTCCTTGCTGGTTTAGCGGTGTCTTGATGCATATTCATGTCTCCTTTGGGGGGTGTATATGTATGATGATAAGATGCTTCCTGAGACCAGCCATATCAAACATGTTCGATCATCTGACCAAGTGGGTTCTCTTTTTTAACGGATTCACTTTTGTCAAGATCTGATACAGTTTGATCCTATTTTCTAATCTTATTTGTTAGTATCTTGATTTTCTTGTGTTTTGCTGGGAACGGGGATGAATAGTTCTGTAGCTTTTGTTAGTAAAATGTTTGAATTTATCTTGGCATGTTCTGTTCCAAGCATGCTTGTTATTACTTTATAAGCCCATGTTTTGAATTTTTGTTGTTTTGCTCGAAATGTAGAACAATATACACATGTCAAATGAGGTCCTTAATGTTGTTGTAGCACTTGCTATGTCATGCTCATTTGTGATGACCTCATGTATTTTACACTGTCATTGACTCCATTAAATTCTTTTAGGGTTACGTGATCTATCGCGTTCGTGTCAGACGTGGTGGCAGGAAGAGGCCTGTTCCCAAGGGTATTGTCTATGGTAAGCCCACCAACCAGGGTGTGACTCAACTGAAGTTTCAGCGTAGCAAGAGGTCTGTTGCAGAGGAGCGCGCTGGTAGGAAATTGGGTGGTCTGAGGGTTCTCAATTCCTACTGGATTAATGAGGTCTGTTGGCTGACTTCAAAAGTATTATCCATTCCTTGCATATTTATGCATTACTTTTTTTCATTTGTCTTGTATTTCTTTGGTACAGGATTCTACTTACAAGTATTTTGAGGTAATCTTAGTTGATGTAGCACATAATGCCATTCGAAATGACCCAAGGATCAACTGGCTATGTGACCCTGTTCATAAGCACAGGGAGCTCCGAGGTCTCACCTCTGCTGGCAAGAAATATAGGGGTCTACGTGGAAGGGGACATCTCCACCACAAGAATCGTCCTTCTCGCAGAGCAACATGGAAGAGAAATAACACTCTCTCACTTCGCCGTTACCGTTAATTTCATTGATGTTCTTGGAAGTGTTAGTTTATGGGTTTTGTCTGGAGAACAAAATTGTTATTACTTTGAGTTTGAAATTTTGGATATTGGAAAGACTGCTGTTTTGGAATCCCAACAATCTGAGTGAAAATGTTGAGCTTCTCGATTTTTGCTTTATTGGCGGTTTTAGAAGTGATTAGCCTATTATTTTCTTGGACAAATAAGGTTTTGCTGTTGAGCATATTTCTTTTAATACAGAGCTAATTTACATCACACTAGGGTTTGAGCCCTTTCTCTGCATGGTTTTTAGGAAGGCAAATAAATGCACTGGATTTTTGTCCAATCGATGAGTAAATATTTAAGCAATAATAGAATGGAACAGATATGTGTCTTTGTCTTGGCTAAACTGAGGCAGCAGCTTCTTGATTTTCCATATGGAATACAAATCTAAGGTCATTCTACGTTCGAACTGATGCTTGAACTTCAAAGATTGACATAACTCTGTATTAGAGCATTCCATCTCTGTAGTTCTCTTTAAGATTCTGTAAGGCTTGCCGAATAGAATCTTCATCTTGACTGGAATACTTTAAGCATATCAATCGTTGAGCAACACGATATAGCGACTGCAGTTGTTGATACCGGTGGCAGTTTACCTCTATTTGCTTTATTTCCTGAATAAATTTAAAACGCCAAGCAATTACATCTTAAGTTAGATGCATCTATTGCTAGAAAGGCACGGTTTTATAGCAACTTGATACCAAATACATATAAGCTTAAATAGAAATTAAGTCACCTTAGAGCTGGTAAAACCTAGGAGAAAACAAATCTCAAAACTCGTGTCTATGAAAGCTTTGATTCTAAAATGCTTAAAAACATATCTTGAATCAAGTATAAGGGCTTTACAGTAACATTAAACTTGAACCTGTACCTTTTCCTTGATCTTTGATGTGATGCTTCGAGCTGTTTCGATCACTGAGCTTGGTAGGCCTGCCACTTCTGCCAATAGAAGGCCATAATGTGGTACGTGTCTTGGTCCATCCTTGAGTTGAAACTGAGTGAATCAAAGTCTCGATCAATAAACACCAGGAAAAGTCAAATGTAGGACAAGATATAACCGGAGATACTACCTTGAAATCTAAACGGTTGTTTTTTATGGCCACATCTAAGTGAAGAAGCTTGACATTTGGATAGATAGTCGCTAGTTCTGATAGGTTCTCCATATGAGTAGCAAATATGGTATACCTGAAAATGATTGAACAAGAGAAAGCAAATACTGTATTTTCAAACAACAATTGGAGCTGCTGATGTGAGGATAGACCAAACTAACTGGTGTGTCAACAAATGTGTGCGAGTGTCTCCAAGCTAATCTACTTTTTAAGTCATATCAGTTCACTGGTATGTTTGAATCATATGAAATATTTGCATATATGTGTTTTTGTTTTTATAAAATTGATCAAGCATTATTGTAATATCTGACTCTGGCATCTTGTGTTTTGCAATTGGTAATCAACCACATTACATGGAAGCATGTTCTTAAGTCAACAATGTTCTTATATAGGCATAGCAATGGGAAAATGTGAGAAGTGATTACGCTTTGAGTGATAACAAATGCTCACAGCAGCTCCAGGCAATTGCAAATCCATCACAAGACGAGGTAGCTCTCCCCAGCTCATCCATAATGATCAGACTTCTGTTAACAAAGAAAGTGCAGTTTGAATATATATATATATATATTACATTTCTTCGTTGGGAAAGCACGTGATATATCACCTTTGGGAGACATTCTGCATGACAAAAGCTGTCTCTTTCATCTCCGTCATAAACTGTAGCACCAAAAGAAAAAGAACAGCATGATATGGTTTCTTGCTTTCAAAACCAAATTTTAGGCAATATGTCATGTCCGATTCCAACTATCAGAGGAATTGTCCACTTTATTGATAAGAATTGGCAAGACCTGCGTGATTTTATCCCGTAGGTGAAATGAGAAACTTCCCAGGAGATCATCTATCCTAGGATTTCCGTTAAGTCAGCACGCTTAACCCTGAAGTTCTTAGAACTCTCCAAGCCATTTCACCAAAATGCGTCTTTGATGATTAGTTTCCCTCTTTTTGATATATGATCTGATTCATTCCTATATCTCACGTTCCACTACCTATAGTTACCCTACCATCTTAGAATGTCATCCTCGAAAGTAGTCAGGAGTTTTGCTCTATCCACCCTCTTAGGGTTGCTTTGCTGGATCAGGAGGTCACGCAATAAATATACATTTTCAAAAAGAATAAGCAATCAATGTAGTTTCCATACATTCTGATGGGATCTTTCTCTTTGTTGCTCAGTGTCTTAAATTCAAACAAAACTGCGACTACAACAATTTTGGGCATTTAAAGAAGTTTCCGTTTTCTTCTAATTGGCTACCGGCAAATCAGTCATTAATTACTAGTTTGATGAGATATAAAAATGCAGGTAACAAGTCATAATCATACCGATAAATATGAGTTAACAAATATTGGAAATATTACACGGAAACAAGATTTGAATTCTGAATTGTTATTGGTTTCTTGGACCTTAGCAGTTCTTTGTTAAATATAACATAGACCAACACTCGTGGTCGCTTTACAGTTATATTCCAAAGAGAATATGAGTGGCATGCCAACAAGGTAAGGGAACTTGTATTTCTTTCTCACAGTTCCCTTGTTACTAGTTTGAGTATGATTATAAAAAGGGCTGACTATTGAAGGCTCGAGCCTAGAAATTGTACCGTGCTGGAGTTCGTTTCAAGATTGTCCACTGAACCCATCCTTGTAAATATACGATCAACTACCCTTATAGTTGAGAAGCGCGCAGGAACATAACAACCAATCTGAGCCAGAATAACAAGAAGACAAACTTGTTGAAGATAAGTGCTCTTTCCGCTCCTGCAGAAGATCATAAATAGCTAAACTCCAGTAGAACAGAGAGCTAATATCGTCACAATTTTGTATGTTCTAGTTGAAGTTTGGGCCATTTCATAAAATGATGTCTGCATGCTCAAATGAGAAAGGTTAAAGTACTTTACGCTCGAGAAAATACTGAAGGATGATGACCTAAACAAAAGAAAAAAAAGGCAAAGAATTCAATTTGAGGAGAAGACTAATAACACTTTAGTTCATCCCCTCTGCATGAAACTGGGTGCTCAGGGAAAAGCCTGAAAAAGCTAAGTTTGTAATTCACCTACCCTTTCTTCTACATAGTTAACTCTCTATATTATGATAGTTTACTTGAAGCCCCTTGTGCAGTCAAAATATTTGAGGATACTTTCGTGAGACCATTACGAAGAATGGAGATCTCAGAACTTTCCCATTATTTTTGCTGTTTCACTTCCAAAAACATGACAATTCGACGGCAGTGACATAAGCCATCACGCAAAATATGGAGCATCCAGGGCAACTCTAGCACAGACATTTTCCGATTTTTATGTTCTGAATTAAACAGCCGATGTACCATATTACCTGACGAAGCAAAAAACTTAAAAGGACTGTAACACGTCAAAGTCACTTTCATGTACTTCCAAAGAGCACATGCATTTCACATGAACGGTGCATTGCATAAAAGACTTTAAATCCAGTCTAGGTGCAGCATCAAATGAAGGAATTCCTTACATGTTTGGGCCCATGACAACGACCATGTTTGATGCTTCTGAAATAAAGAGATTGTTGGGCTGCAAAAAAAGAGCTGTTAAGTAAAATGTTTTACTAATTTTCCAATGGATGAAAAATCAGTAAAATAATATGTTTTAAAGTTCTGTACAAGAAAGGACATGCACAAGCAGTGAAATTCCCCAGGACAAAATTACTTACGACAAAGTCATTATGTATGCTTTCCAGGATAGGGTGTCTTCCAGCGTCAAAAGCCAATGGGCCACTATCTACAAGCATAGCAAACTATTAGACATGCCCAATCACCTCAGTGAGTCACAAGATAGATTCTACAAACAGGAAAAAATTGCTTACTTGTGAATTCTGGCCTAGTATATCGGTCAACAAGCTTAGTTGATATTGTATGAGCAAATGAATTAACAATCATATCTAGAAGGCACAAGACCTCTGCAAGCAGCGAAAGTGCAGATGCGTCCTCCCTTATAGCATCTAATAGAGCTGAAATCAGGTGGAAGTACCATATAAGTAATGAAAGAGACTACAATATGGCATGCATGAGTTTAGAGGATATGATGTCTTCAAGAATAATTGTCCCATCAATTACCCAGCTCCACAAGTGGAAAAAGAAGCCAATCTAAATCAGAATATTTCCCATAGGGCCAGCCATGTATAGTACCAGAATATTTTCCTACAAGTTAATCTAAATCAGATTTATCCAGTACTTGACTTTCCATATTCTAGCTAGTTGTTACTATAAAGAGAGCAGGCTTCATGAGGTCAATTGTGTTAAAGAAAAATAAATTCATTAAAATTAAAGAGGCACATTGATGAAGGGATAAGCATTCATGACACTAAGATGTGCCATAATAGTATCAGCGTGTCTATTACAACCTTCAAGGCAAACTTCTGTTCTTATATAGCACTCTTCAGCTGCAGACTTATTTCTGACATTCAGCTGCACATTGAATGCAACAGAGCAAAACTAAATGAAAACCTCCCCATAATCAAGCCATTTCAAATAATATGCATTTTGGATCCAGTAGGAAAAATAAGCATAGAATGAAAAGAGGTGAATTACAATCACGCAATAGCATCTCAGATGATACCATAATTCGAGACAACCATACATATGAACAGCATCATCTTGAAAGTTTATTTCATTTTAATTACTCTGGTCTCTAATAAGGAATATGAACAAATGGCTTGAGACAAAACAGGCAAACATTAATATTAAGATTTAAGAAAAATCTGTTAATTAGAGGAAGGCCTGAGATTATTATTTGTGTCAGTCCCTTTTGAACGATCTCATTGACATATATGATTTCTCTCCAACCATACAGGGTACACATTAATCTATATTAAGAGTAAAAGATCTTCTAGTTACAAGCTGGACAACTGAAGAAATGTCTTAGATTATTATTTGACTAGACGTTTTGGCTTATATTCCTACTAATGTAATTTCCATTACAGATGGACAAATATACGTTTATTTTTTAAATGATTCATATCGTCAAGTGTACCCATTCATGAATGATCCTCAAGGCATACTCAGTTTCTTTAACACATGTATCTCTCCAATATTACCATAGTTACATCCTAAAAATGCAGCACCAGATGTTCATCTAGAATAAACAACCAGCAGAATACAGGTTCTTGGACTCCATAATGGATCCACCATGACTTGTACACCAATTATTTTTGTATAGACCGAGAGGTTTTAGCAATCCTAAGACAGTGACAAATAAGCATAAAATTAATTTGGCATGCTTCAGTCTTCAATAGGATGGTCAAAGAGCAGATTGTGATCTAAGTTCATTCTATCAACAGGAAGAGGCAGTTCCATGCAACCCGAATTTGATATGCATTTATATTAAGATGGAATCCAATGGAATATGAAAAAGTAGTACCACCAGCTCTCACAATAATAGATCACAAAAGTTTCGTCTGAATCATAGATTGAAATCAACTAGAGATGAAGATGATACTTACAGAAGCAAGTTCTAAAGAAGAGCAGTGTACATTATTTCCATGTTTCTGGACCTGATTTATGTTCCACAAACAAGCATATGAATTGATAATTAAAGCGGATTTTAGTTATCAATAAGCAGATAAGGATGTTATTCACAACCTGAATGAACTTGCTTGGAAGCTTTCCCTGGATGTCCTTCTGTGGAATGCTAAAGTAAAAGCCTTGTCTGTTGTTAAATGGAAGTTTCAAATTTGGCACTTTGAATTCTTCACGATACTTATTTGCAAGATTGTGTACAGCTATCATATTTGAGATGGTAACAACAAAAACAAGAAGAACATCAATGGATGCAAGATTTTTTTTTTTTTTTTTTTTTTTTTTTACTAAGAGATGACAAGATGATACCTTACAGAAAGCAAGTTTCTAAAAGAGAGCCAGTGTACATTATTTTCCATGTTTCTGGACCTGATTTATGTTCCAGCAAACAAGCATATGAATTGATCATTATAAGCGGAATTTTTAGTTATCAATAAGCAGATAGATGTTATGTTCCACAACCTGAAATGAACTTGCTTGAAGCTTTTCCCTGGATGTCCTTCTGTGGAATGCTAAAGTAAAAGCCTTGTCTGTTTTAAAATGGAAGTTTCAAAATTTGGCACTTTGAATTCCCTTCACGATACTTATTTGCAAGATTGTGTACAGCTATCATAATTTGAGATGGTAACAACAAACAAGAAGAACATCAATGGAATTGCAAGATTTTTTTTTTTCTTTTTTTTTTTTTTTTTTTTTTTTTTTTAAATGAAAGGTAAAAAGAACCTAGATGGTAGAAACCTTCACTAGTATCACAAAACGTTCTCCGTGCAATATCCAAAAGTCCATCAATACCAGCCTTGACAGCAAAACATTGCTGTGTTCGAGCGACAAAAGGAACGCGAGCATGAAGCACATCTTCATCTATCACCTCCCCAATTCTTAAGGGAGGAAAAAAAAAAAAAAGAAGAGAGAAAAAGAATCTTTCAGATAATAAAGTAAAGTAGTTCATAGTTACTCAAATTTCTAATAAGATTGGATGTGACTGCAATGTAAAAAGGATGGCATATCATTGATAAACTACTTCTATTGCATATAATAGAACAACAGCAAAAAAGAAAAAAAAAAAAAAATAAAAAATCAAAAAAAATTAATATATATATTATATATATCATATATTGAAGAGGAAGAAAACAATGGAAAGTTTTCTCAATAAAGAGTTTTGGCCATTGTTTCTTACAACAGACTAATATATTGAAGAGGAGAAACAATGGAAAGTTTTCTCAATAAGAGTTGGCCATTGTTTCTTCAACAGACTAAATAGCAGGTTCAACATTTTAAAGAGATGCATTTAATATTGAGACAGAAAGAGGGAGTCAATTACTTTATGTTGCATTTTTTTTACCTGAACAAATTTCTATGTAAAAATGCTAATATGCATTATTCCATCAGCCCACATTCTGACCAAAACTAGTTGGCCAATTAGGATCAGGAAACTCAAAACTAGGTGATAATACTGTTCAACATCTATACGTCTTGATACAGCAATATAGGAACTCACAAGCAGCATAAGATATACCTGTTTCTGATGGAAGCATATTTCTTATTTTCACATACAGTCCTGTAAACATTTGCAAGAAGAAAACTTTTCGCATCCTTAAGCACCTGAAATGCTTAAAATAACATTACTTTAAATTTATGAGTTTAGGAAACAGCATATGGTGCACTATTAAGATAACATTTACCTTTGAAAGTAAAGGCAATGCATCTAAAGCAGTTTTAAGCAGAATAATACTTGATATCAACACCTGGCTCCTTCTGGCATTGTCAATGCCTAAAACCTCATTTGTAACCTTCTTTGGCTTAAAGCAGAAATGACAGAGTACTCTATCTAACAAAGAGCATAAACAAACTTGAAGTTAGATATTAAATAAAATTAGCTTTAACTTCCAGAAAAATTTCTCCCACTTGGTTTCAGGTCAATTTTGTTGTTACTTCTTTCTTTTAGCTTTTGATTACCAGTCTCTTTTGGAAACTTGCACAGAACCTGAGAGAGTCCAAAGAACAGTTGTTCATTGCTCATCAGCTCATCCTGAAATCAATGTAAAGAAATACACTATAGATGAGACTAAATGAGAGTTGCAAGCTGTTCCTTCCATGGAATTCGGTGAACCAAAGAAAAAAAACAAATCTAAATGGCAAGCATGAGATAGTTAGATCTTTCATCAAATAAAAATTTCAGTGCATAAATTTTTCATGCGTCTTGCTGAGCAGTAGTTAGGAATAACTTATACAATCAAATAAAGGAATTCAAACTAGATTGTCATAATGTCAACAAAAGGTTAAGCTATGCTTTCTAAGTTAACTAATTTTATGGACAAACCTAAATTGCATGTTTAACTAATTTTATGGACAAACCTAAATTGCAGGATTACAGAAATCAGTCCACCCTTTCTTTTTTCCTCTGTTTCTGTGTATGTATGTGTATGTGTATGTGTGTCTATCTTTCCCCTCTTCTTCTTATGATTCTGATTATGCTGAATGAGGACACCGAATTCAGTTTCACCCCCATAGCAATCCTGACAAAATATGCATCCATGCTAAACTCAATTAATGGAGACAATTACCATCCCCTTTCTCTTTGGTTTCCCATTCTGTGAAGTATGTTGAAGATGAGAAAACAGATAATCCTACAGTTACTTGTAAAGAAAACTGCCAATGCTTTTGAAGAAGGTGCATTTTACTGAAATATAAACTCTTGCCTAGCTCCATTCTAAAAATCTGAGACAGCTGAATCTGATACTAACCAGGCAATCCAGACGGGTGTTGATAGTTTCAATATCTTTTAGAGGCTGCAGCAAATTGGCACGTAGAAGTCTAGTCCTGGAGAAGAAATCCAACCCAATATCACCTCCGAAGTTCTTAGGAAAGAAAAGAAGATCATCCAATACCAAAACAATGGGCCAAACTTCTAAATATTAAGAAGGCTCCAACTTTTGTTTCCATGGTTGAGCTCTAATTTGTGCGATGACATGATTATTCACTAAGTTAGCGACTATTTACTTACCCTCCTATTGTTTTTGTCATCTTAAGCATATGGAATAGACTCCTTTTCTTGTTTGTGGTGCCCCAAAGAGAAGAATGAAGTGGCTCAATGATTTCCAAATTCTGGACACTGCCACAAAATTCAACCATGAAGTTCTCAAAGAATTTGAAATAAGTATCAATTGTGATGCATGTCTCCTGGAAATTTTACTACACAAAATGTCATTTTCATAGAAATTCAAAATATCATCATCAGAACTGAACCATAATTCACTGGAAATTGAGGCAGACATCCAGAAAAGAAAGAAAACTTACCTAGTTGCATCAATATTCATGTGGTCAAATGATCCATTAAACGTAACCTGTGCTAGTGAGAAGTCCATGAATAAAGATCAGAATCCTTAAAATTGTCAGTACACATAGAGATGGAAATGTATATGGAAGAATAAATGAGATATTATGACTACTAAATGCTCAACAAAATTCTGAAAGCACTACACTAACTGAAATTATACATCTTAAAGGAAGGATATTTCTTTGTTGCTTGGATAATTTGCACAATCAAGTTATAAGTTGCAGGATATTTTTGAATGAAATGATCACATTTTATTTTGGCAGGACTGCCTATATTTTAGATTCATGATAGCTAAAGCCAACAATATACTCAAAGTAATGCTGGGCTGGTCAGATTTGACTTTCATAAAAAATATTTCAGTTAGTTAAATAACTTTGCAGCTAGGATTCATCCATGCACAAAAAGATTGAAGTTGAAGCAGAAACTGGCCATGATCAATGTTAATTGGCACAACATCCACTATAACGTGGCATAAGAAAGGTGTTACTAACTGCTCAAATCGGTTGTTAATAGATTGCCACAGACATGCTTATCTGAATAGCAATAGGTCTAGAAAAGTGCATCAGGAAATGGTAAGAATAGAAGATATTAGAGATCTGTAAGACTAGAAAAAAGTTAAGAGTTCATAAGGCCTTTCACTCTGACCAGGCCATATAGTTAATCAATATAATGTGACGCGTTACCACATAAGCATCACTCAAGATTGTACTAAATTGTTTATTACTTTTACCACTGTCAAGGATTAGTTGTAAATAGAGATCTATTAGGAGTTAGATTCCTAATTAGTTTATGATTTGTATTCCTAAATAGCTAGGTAACATAGGAATTCCTTATATATAGACCTCTGTAATCGATTGATGAGATACAAGAAATACCCGTCGTTACGAACATAAGCATGCCAAAACTCCCCAAAGAATGTACCTAAATTGTTTATTTTAAACTTTAAACCCAAACTGCGTCCAAAGATTAAGTTTGTAAATAGAGATCTATTAGGAGTTAGATTTCCCTAATTAGTTTTATGATTTGTATTCCAAATTAAGCTAGGTAACATAGAAATTCCCTTAATATATAGACCTCCTGTAATCGATTTGATGAGATACAAGAAATACAATACAAATAATATTCCCTCTCAACATGGTAATCAGAGCCTGTCCATGCAAAAACCACAAAAAAAAAAAAAAAAAATCTCGAACTCCTACGAGAAGTACGAGAAGCCACTGCCACCCTAGGAAGCCTTTCTAGGGTTAGTATTTTGCCTCACTGCCCACCCCAGGATATTCTCCAGCCGCCGATTAGCGACTCCCCAGAATCCGGTCGATGGATTCCAAGCGAATGGCCGCCACTCGCCCCCTCTTTCTTCCTACTCTGGTTCATGCGCTGGCGCATGTCCAATGGTCTTTTTCACTCCAGTTCCTCTCCCCGATGTTGGCTTGAAGAGAGACGTGCAACCAAGTGAGTTGCATCGTCATTCTTGGGCTTATTCAATAGGTTTGTTTGCTGCGATTCTATTGCAGCTGTGGGGCTTATTCAATAGGTTTGTTTGCTGCGATTCTATTGCAGCTGTGTCGGTAGTCCTCTGCTACTATTGTTGCTTTAATTTGCTGAGGAAACATATTTTGCCTTTGCTATGACAATTGGTTTAGGTAATTTTCGGTAATTTTCTAGTGATTCCTTTTTGCATTAAGGTTTAGTACTGCACCTTTGCTGCAGTTACGGGTATTCTGCTTTTAAACCTTCTCCTTTGTCGATGCATTGTGTTCTTGGCCTTCAGTGGTGTGCTCCGTTTGCCAGATTTTCCTTCACTGCGTTGGACTTCCTCTTTGAGGCATTGATTATGGAAGCTTGAAATAGCCCTATGAGTTGTTTTCTGGTTCAGTGAGATTTGTGTTGTTTCGACAACGCCTAAGTGGTTGTCTTGAAATCGCTACTACATGATTGGTTTGGGATTCTGTTATTGCTATATGAAGTAGGGGTACATTTGTTTGAGTAAGGTAATGTCTTTTGCTGAAAGTAATAGTTGTGTAGACAGGTTTTAGCATTGAATTCAACCATCTATGCTCCAAGCTTTTGAAGGGGTGAGTGTCAAGGTTTAAGTTGTAAAATAGAGTTCTATAACGAGTTAGATTCCTAATTAGTTATTGATTTGTATTGCCTAAATAGCTTAAGGTGAACAATAGAATTCTTATATATAAGACATTTGTATTCCTAAATAGCTAGGTAACATAGGAATTCCTTATATATAGACCTCTGTAATCGATTGATGAGATACAAGAAATACAATTACAATATATTCTCTCAACAACCACCAAGTGCAAAAGGAGCATATGTTACAGAGTACATACCAATAACGAATGGTTTGTAACAATGACACCTTTCTCAGCTTCTGTCCTGTGTATAACATTCAAAATTTTTCTTTTAAAATCAATTAGTAACTAGAAAATACAAAAATAATGATAATAATAATAAAAGGAAACGTATCCTTCACAAACTTTAAGCAACTAAATAATTAAGGTATGATAAAGGTGAAAAAGGAAGAAAGAAACAAGGCATGCATAATTTAGGATTCAAACTGCAATATGACTTCATAATTTTTTATGTGATGCAACAGAAGAATTCAAGGATTTTCATGATCTTTGCTTTATGAAGAACCATAACAATCCACATGTTCTTTTCACCTCCACTTGCTGTCAAAATGCCTACACCATTTACAGGAAAACTCTCAGATGTAGATGTTCAGAATTATAGAATTAGGTTATTTCCTTTTCGCTGTTCCATTTGGATATATTTAACCCTGGAACCACAGCATTGATTTCCCATTCACTCTCAAATTGTTTCACAGATATCCAAAGATCCATACCAATTCTTCAACACTACATCAACAGCTAAGAATTCTGAAAACAGTGAAGTTCTGATCAATGTTAAATATTTTTCCTCCAGAAGATTTAAAAAGGTTCACCTTAATCCATAAGTCCTAATGTAATATATAGCCTTTTTCCTATTCAATAGTAAAATGTATCTACGTCTAACAAATATATAGTAATTATGAGAGCAGCGTATTCTGTGTTTTAATGATTGCCAATTATATCTTACAGAACTAAATGCTTTAAATTATTGCAATTTTTATAGCAATCAACTGATACGAAATTGAACTTCATATGTTCTATTACAAACACACGTATATATCCATCACGATTTAGTTTTTTCAATTATGCATGATCTAACTGACTCAACAAATCAAACTGACACATATTCAAGTACCAAATTTAGTTGCAGAAATAAACAAAATCACGTGAACGAAGTATAAGAAATGCAGAAATTTGTTTAATTTTACAAGGTAAACTTGTAAAATGACAATTATTTCTTACATAGTAACCCTGGTAGCTATTTAGCCACTATCCAGAAGATTCTAATGCTTTCTGGTTCGAATAGTTTAATTACCACTTAAGCTATGGCTCTAGAATCAAATGCAATTTGTTCCAACCTTGAGTTAATTAAACACGCACGCACACACCACATGATCTACAAGCACAGTTAAAATACCCTCTTCAGTCAAATCTGCTGAGCTTATCTGAGATTACCATTTTATAGTAGCTGCAGCAGCAGCCAGGCAGAGATAATATTGCTTGTAGTAAGTGTCCAGACCAAGAGCAGAAGGTTCCTTGGCTGCTAAATTTTTAATCAGCACAGCACCCTGGAGTAAGTAATGAAAAAGGTATGTATTACCTCTGAAGAAATACAAATGTAAGCACCTGGATATAAAACATCAGTGATGATAAAAATGTTTTGGTATAACCTTGGTGTCATCAAAGCAACCGCGGGCCATCACAACCTACAAAAATTCAGTAACTGTAAGCTTGGTACATGAATACAACAGATAAGCATGTGTTTATGGTTGGCATTCACAAACATGAGCAGATAAAGTCAGAAGGAAGCACAGAATTCAAGTTCAATAATGGCTTCACCTTCTTGACTAAAGCATAAAACCGATCCACCAATTCTGAAATTCCAACCATTCCTTCAGGTGCCAATTTGTTTGGTGGAACAATGATCACCACAGGATCATAGAATTGCAACAAAGTTCTTGTATTCTGGTAGGAGCTGCTAGTTTCAATATATTGAGAAAGATGAAGTGAAGCTGACCTCAAGTCAAAAGCGGCCATTCCCACCTACAAGTTAGACAAAGTTAATTTATATTAGTTTGTTAAAAATATCCAAATTTTAATTCAAAAAACTTAAATTTCATATTATCAGATGTTAGTAACTTCAGAATTAATTCTGTCACTAAATTTTTTAATTAGAACACGATCATTTGCGCTAAAATCCTAAAATAATATACATATCAGATCCTTCTTCGCAATTGAACCTTATTAGTTCTTATTTTCCAATCAGCAAAGAGATTTTCTGAAATGTAACCTATAATAAACCTGTGATCAGCTTATTTAGCAAAATAATAAAACTATAAAAGCATTTCCGAACAAACTGAGAAAACACTATTGATACATTAATAACACCCTACAAGCTGAAGGATAATTAATAAAAAAAAATGAAATAATTTAACTTTAAAAAAAAATAGACAAGTATCTCATTGAAGATTCAAAGAGCATTTCAGGAATTCAAATGCTGGAAATGATCATTTCTCAAAAACCACAAATCATCGTAAAGAAGAGGAAAATTAGGAAGACGACATAAAGCAGATTTTTATATTTTAATTCAAGTTCAAAATTCGATTCAAAAGTAAGCCAAAGCAGTAAAATAGCCTGTTAATACACGGAAAGTTCCTTTACTTTCAAGCATTTTGCCGCAAATCAAACAGAATAAAGTACCTCTTTGGCTCTGTTTTCTATTAGGCTTATTACGATGCTTGATTTCTCTCCTCCATCGTCTTCCATTTTGCTTCGAAGCAGAAAGAGTTAATAAATCTTACAAATGCGCGCGAATTCCTGATCTATTTATAGGAGCTGCTTTTACTTTGAGCGGGGTCCGTAGTCTGCTTAAAATGTGCACCGGGATTCGCTTAGCGCAACTTGAGAGCCAAATTTATGGGCTTGAGGCCCAAAATGATTACAAAGATAACAAAAGGTCCACCTCTCTCCAGTACTTTGTTAAAAATGGACAGAAACAATAAATGAGAAGTGTCCAATTTTCCATTTAAATTAGTTTGAATGAATATGCATTCTGATTTCAATATAATATAATAAACTGTTATTATTTTTCAATTAGTATAAATTCACTTTTCTTCGATCACTTTGAGTATTAGGAGGAGGACCTGGAATCTAGATATATGCCCAAATCTTATACACACTTACTACTGACCATATTTGCTCGTACATGTATAAATACTTTTGTTTCAATAACAATCATCATTTCAATATTCGCAAATTTGAATTAATTTAATAGAAGCAAATAAACTTGAAATAAGGCAAGAAACAAGTATATATTGATAATAACAAAAGAAGGTATATCACTAAATACAGCAAAACGAAAACTGAGGACTTGAGGCTATTGAATAAGATAGCAAGTTTCAGTGAATAATTTACAGGCTCTCTGTAGTACTTCTACATCACGTCTTCTCTTGTATACAAGTATGAAAGCGGATTACAAGTTGGTAAGAGTGTGATTGAATGAAATAACCACAAATAGAGCCACTAAAATCAACTCATAGAGAATCATTTTCATTCACCAATGACTTCCCTTATAGTCACAAATAGACCTTTCTCAATGGAAAGCTGTGCTGCAACTCCTATAGCCACTGAAATCAATCCATCTTGCAAATCCACTGCTGGAGCTTTTTCACCTTTCCCTTGAATTGCGGACAGGAAGTTAAGGTGTTCCAAATAGCTAGATCCATGATGCAGTCCATCATATCTGGAAAACAAGTTGATCCAATATCACATCAAAAAGAGTAAAAGGCATCAGTGTAGCCTAATCAGTGAGCTTTGGCTAAATGGCACCAGCGTAGCCTATAGGTCATGAGGTTATGGGTTCAATTCAAATATCAGTCAATGACTAATTAAGCAAAAAGAGTAAAAGGCAGCCTAATGCCTCGAAAGAATGTGAACAATGCTGCAAAGCACTTTAACATTAGGAAATAATGACAAGAAAAGCAACCCACTTGATTCGGTCATCCTCAGCTTTGAATGTCTGGACACCATCTCTTCCTGCCGCTCTAGTACCATAGCGAACAATACTCTCAGGAACAAAGGCTTCCCCCTGTTACAAACCAATGTATTCATTAAAACTGAGTGAGAAACATGCATAGGCCTATAAGATTCCCAAGAGTGAGGACTGCACTCTAAAAAAGTCACTAATTAAATTAATGGTATAAAAAGACAAGGCTACAGTTCGATACATAGGTTGCTAAAAGGATCCATCTGAACCTAAGGGAATGCCAAAAGAGTGACTCTCTATTTGGAGAATGCAATATAGCAGACCATTCATAGTGCCAATGCATATTTGTGCACATGCCTCAGGGAAAAGAGAGAGGAAGATTGCTTTACCTTTCCAATATCACCAACAACAGATATTTCTTGCTCATTTTTACTGCCTTCAGCAAACATGCAAAGATCAAGCATCCCTCTAGAACCATTATCAAACTCAACAACAACATATGCATTGTCAATGATGTCTGGTACCTGAATCCAAAAGAAAAATTGTGAACAGAAGGCTATCCTGACATTATTGAACATAAAGATAATAAAATTTTAAACATCTAATCTCAGGAAAGGAAAAATCAATTCTTGCACAGCTCAAACTGTCAACCTAACCAGTCAACTTACAATAACATATCTAAATCCTTGTATTTGTGGAACCGTTAGAGGACTTAGCATTCAACATCAGTATCCATATCTGTTACTACGCTGCAGTTAAACCTATCTTTTGCTGAAGAGAACTAAATCGCCTAAGAGATGAGTTAAAAAAAAGTATTAGACCAAAGTTTGCTATGAAGAGTGAAACATGGTAAGAATAAGATTGATTACTAATTTACCATTTGAATAACTAAAGATATAGATGGATTCCTCCTGAAAACAAATGAAGCCAACTTTTTCCAAATTGTAATTAGCATCTCTATCAAATTGACAAGAACATCAATTTACCTTGCCATCATATGTTTCATCTTTATGATTAACATCTATAGCTCCAGAAGCCATAACTCGAACAGGATTTGCACCTGCAAACAGCCTCATCAGATCAAAGAAATGGCAGCACTTCTCTACCAGGGTACCCCCTGTGTTAGCATTGAACCGGTTCCAATTGTTAACCTATTAGAAGCATTAGTCAGAACATTGATTGCTGCAATAGTAAGTTGGAAAACTAAGATGCAAATTTACCTTGACCAAAAATGGAAATCTATGTTCTCTGATCGCCACCATTTTGACTTGTCCAAGAGATCCACCCTTGACGATTTCAATTAACTTAGCAACTGGTGGCATGTATCTATACTCCAATCCAACTTGCACAAGTATATCTGACCTCTTTCTAGCAGCATTCACGACCTAACAAATTCAAGACCTAATAAATTAGAAAAGATCAAATAACCAGCGATGCTCAAGTCCTGAGAAAACCCATTTCTTAAGCTAGGATAAGCTACTCATATCATTTTCTGTTTTCACTGTAAAGAAAAGAGAAAACACATTTCTTATCCATTTCTTTTTCCTAGAAAACCGATTTCAAAACATTCATGATAATTACCAGGAGTCCTTACCGTTGCGTGAGAATTTAATGGAAATTATTAGGAAATAAACGCTCAAGAAATGCTTAAAAACACATTTTCAAGGTTTTAAATCGCAGTCCCAGTCATAGCATGGGCATGCCATAGGTCATGGCTGGAAAATGTAAAAAACATGGTTGGAGCTATAATATAATTATTTATAAGAGAGTGAAGTATCAGCAATTTTAGTGTGTCACAGTTATAATCCAACCATAACTTTCGGTCATTTAAAAGAATTTCCAAATAACATATACAATGGGCTGGAAATGTGCTAACATGAAAGTACCAAAACTAAGTAGAAATAACAATGGAAATAATTAGCAGACCTCTCTGCAATCAGCAACAGTGGTACAGAGTGGCTTCTCAACCAAAACATGATGGGGTTTCGGGTGGTTAATAATGTCCATTAGAATTTGATAATGAGTCATGTTTGGAGACGATACAACCACTACATCACAAAGTCCACTGTCCAACAGCTCTTGATGTCCTGAAAATACCTGCAGAAATCAAGAAACAAACCCATAATTGCAGATGATAAATTTTTACTGAAATAAAAAATTCGGGCATATACCTCAAGAGGCCAATCAAAGGATTGGGCTAGTTCAAGAGCTAGTTTTTGGGAGGGGACATGAGGATCGGCAATGCTAACAACGGCGACGTTTTGGGTGCGAAGATGGTAGAGATTGATGAGATGTTCTCTACCCATCATCCCCACACCTATGATTCCATACTTCACAATATCGTTCGCTGCCATGGCTAACAAGTTAGAGCTGGTTTTTAGTGATTAGCAGTTACTCAAATTTGAACTTTATTGTAGGACGACGACGCGAAAGAACTTGTTTTGGCGAATTGATCCAGTGGATCGAGCTGTTATTGTCCACTGTCCTACTGCTCGAAACAAATAAAATTGCATTTTGCATCTCCAAAGTCTTAATAATTACATTGGCATATCCCGCCGTGACCCGGCGGTGCCGGCTGTTGATGGAAGTTGGCTCAGAAACGGTGCGTTTTTACGCTGTCCAAGAAAAAGCATTATTTCCTATCATGACACAAAAACGGTGCAAGCAACAGTCGTTTCATACATCAATCATCCATTGGCTGGGACTCTATTCCTTGAGCCCTGCAGATAAACCCTAACGAAAGAAAGCATCCCTGCTCATCAAACCAGTCCATAGAAGATGAAATTCAGGTTTTCCCGTAAAGTCCCCATATTTCCTCACAATTTACGAATCAATCATCGGTATCACGAACGCCAATTCTTCAATTCGTTTTTTAAGAAGTCCCAAACAGCGCCTCAAGCACGTGGTTCTTTCAATGGCAACAGTAGCAGTAATTCACAAGGTCAGTTACTTTCCTTTTGGTTTCTTAGAAAAATGAGGAGAAAGAAAGAGAATCGCTACTTTGACTTCAACGTCGTTTGTTGTTTGTTAAGCTAGTTTTCAAGGCACTGTTTGTTTGGAGGGTGCTAAAACTAATTTTATTGCTTTAAACACAATACACAGCCATAAAATCTCTTCAATTGAATTGCAGAAAATTATAATGAACAATTATTGTTGGTGATGACAGTGACAGAAGTAGAATCAGGCAGCAAAATATCACTAATCAGTAGTTTTGAATCATGTGAAGCTCATTAATGTGTATATGTGCAGGTAATTCTTTTCTTGTGCCTGGTGCAACTGTGGCTACTCTGCTCATGCTCGGCGCCCTTCATGCAAGGCGACTCTATGATGACAAAAAGGTGTCTATTTACACAAACATATAGCTACTATTGCTTTGTTACAATGATAATAAAGCTTCTATTCCTAGCTTTTTTAGTTTGTTCATTTCTTAAATGATAACTTCAATGCTTGCATTATGTTATGATTAAATTTAATTATTTGATCTTTCATTTTTTGGGTATCTTTAGGAGTTTAATCACAAGTATATGGCTTTTCAGAAGATCTAATTGTTTATTTGTTATAAATATTGTTTTTCTCTTGATGGCAGAATGAAGAAGCACGGGAAAAAGGAATTGAAATAGAGTTTCAACCTGATGTCAAAGTAATATAGACATATTCCAAATGTTATGTTCACATATGTTTCTCAATTTTTTTTCCTCGCTATTTAGTTTAATACGCAGATGCTATGATTTAATGATCTTTATTGACATTCCAAATATTAGGCTTCATTTCTGCAGATGCTACCTTTACGCTCCATTTCTAGAGTTTGGGGTTCCTTGACAGGCATAGTGAGTATTTTTCCTTTTTCTTCACCTAAAATATTTAGTTCTGCAAACAATCTCTCTCCCCACGCGAAATGCATGCTTTTATTATATAGTATGAACATATTTGTTGGTGAAGTACGGATTTTGCATCAGTGGTTTTATTTGTCAACTAACGTAATTGTTCAATTGAAGCTAGAGAACTCAACTTCACCTGAAGAAGTTATCCAAACATATATACATTTGTTATCACATTGGAAAATTCACAAACATCTAGTAACTCTTTATGGATAGAAGTTTAGTATATACTTTTAAATTTATTTAACTCTCTGTATAAATTACACTTATTAACACAAAAATTCAAAAAACTGCTAGGGCATGTCTGAACTTATAAATCAATATCACACCAGACTTTATTAGTGTCATATAATTGCCTGCTTTTTATTGCAATATTTGATTTTGACCGTGGTTCCTTTTTTATTATGTGTATGGTTCAAGTTCTTTCTCTGCATTTCAAATTGACCCAATAGACATTCACCTTTCCCTTAAATGGGACAATTTGAAATGTTTGCAAAAATTTGTTTCTACTGATAAGCTGCCATTCTTTTCTCAAATATCAGATAGACAGACATGCGCAAGGCTCTAATTTTGACTTCCCCCGGATGAGTAAATTTGAAATGTTTTCAAATGTTTGGCTGATACATAAGAACCGCATTCTTTTTTGAAAATTTTTTATGGAAAGACACCGGTATAGCTTTACTTTTGAGTTATTTCAATTATAATTTTAATTGTAGGGATGCTTAAATGTCAGCAGTTATCTTTGGGTTTTCTTGGATATAGTGGAAAACTGATGAGTGGTTCTAGAGTATTCATCAAATTAACTCTATCAGTTCATGTGAGCCGAGTAGCTTCAACCTTGATGTTTTATGTTCTCTTAACCCTCCTCAGACGACAACTGACTCATACTTCTTATGTCTTTCTGCTGTGTTCTTGATTTAATCCATTCTTCTAATTATTAGAAGCATATGTTACATGTCAAGGCTTTATTTCTTGATTTAATATTTACACCAAAATTCTTTTCACAGTTCATGTGTCACTTTATTATCTGATAAAATGATAGAATTTTTTTACATGATCATTACCCTATATGCTGTTATTTTTTACCATTATTTTATGACATATATAACTTGCTACGGGTTAATGTTTTTAGGAACTTCCAATCTGGCTGCGTCCATATGTCTACAAAGCATGGGCTAGAGCATTCCATTCAAGTATTATTGCTATAACTTTTATATATTTATATATTGCTTGATTGATGCTTTTCTGCCATTTTTGGTATTTTAATGTTTTATAGCAATGGTATAATGTGTGGGTGATTAGCCGGAAATGAAGAACATGTGAAAATTTAATATTCTTGTTTGCATCTCAGACTTAGAAGAAGCAGCTCTGCCTCTTGAAAAATATGCTTCTTTAAAGGATTTCTTTGTCCGTGCCCTGGAAGAAGGCTGCAGGCCCATAGATCCTGATCCATGTTGCCTGGTAACTGGTAACAAGCTTCTTGTAAATTTTGCTTTTCACAGATTCTTTTATTGGAGGTCTTGCTAACTGCTTTAAAACTTTTATGGTCATATTTGTTTATGTTTTCAGGTTAGTCCAGTGGATGGCACTATTCTCAGATTTGGAGAGTTGAAAGGATCAGGTGCTATGATTGAGCAAGTCAAAGGATTTTCTTACTCTGTTTTTTCTCTTCTAGGTTCTAGTTCCTTCCTTCCACTGATAGCTGAAGGGGACGTCCAGGATGAGAGTAGTGAACAGCAAAGCAATCTTAAAGAGAACAGTAAGAAGTCATGGTGGAGAATTTCATTGGCTTCTCCTAAAGTCAGGGACACTGTGTCAGCATGGTAATCATGTTCTAACATGTCTAATTGTTGATTTGTTAATCACTAACACATCTATTCAACTTTGTTGACTAATGGGACATGAATGATTCGTTGCCTAACAGTTTTTTCAGATTAACTTCCAATTGGTTTTTAATTCAAGTTGTTGATAGTTCCAAATATCATGGAAAATTGTAGTCAAAGGAGATCTAATATTTGAGAAAATGTTGTAGCAAATTGCAATTGAGAGGAAGATATTGCATATTCTCTTAGTCAATGGGTTAAATGATGTGAAAGTCAAATTTTTGTAAATTGCCAATACAGCCCTTTTACCACTCTTATCTAGTTATTAGAAAACTTGTAATGCTCATGAGATCAGGAATGCCACAAAGAATAGGTATGCGTCTAATGTTTGACTATGCACTTGGGATTAAGGTTTTATTTAGTTGCACAACTGTACATGAAGGGTAGTTTACATAGGATATTTGCTTTACAATTGTTTTTTTTTTTTTTGTTTGTTTGTTTCTATTAAACGTTAAATTTATAATTGATAAGTGAGACATAGATGTGTTCTTAACAAAGTATTGCATTTTTTTTTTTTTTTTCACTTTGTTGTAGTATTATTTTGGACTTCTGTTGGATTATGATCATTAATACTAAGGATATTTGTTGACATCATGTGCTATGATCACACCCACATATGTGCAATAAAATGTCATGTTTGATTTGATTTGTTTATTTAAATGCTGGCAGTCTCATCTATGAAATCCCTTTCCCTGGTGGCTGGTATGTTTTGGAAATATAACACATTACTGAAATTAGTGAATTTTTAACAACCACCTGGCACATATTAGATGCCCGTAGTCTGCAGATACGTTTACAAGAATATTTAAGAGTCTCTGCAATCATCTATAGTTTGGTTAGGCTTTGGGTTTATTTGTAATCTTTGCTTTTCTATTGAACTTTATGCCTGCACCCATCTGAATTTATCTGCTATTGATTGCTAGATGTTTTTAATTTATTTCCTAAGATTACACCATTTAACACATCATAAGTATTGATTGCAGTCCAAAAAAGGGCCTTTATTACTGTGTAATATACTTGAGGCCTGGAGATTATCATCGAATACACTCACCGGTTGAATGGAATGTGCTTGTACGCCGGCATTTTACAGGTTGGGTTGGTAACTTGTTTATGGGGTTCGCAATGTTTTTGGTTATTTGATGGGGATACAACTTTCTCTTCTATTCATGGAAGTGTGTGAACCTCAACAATAACATACTATAAAAGTAATAATTAAAATAGGCAAAGAGAATATGCTAGTTCCAGATGAGCAGGAGGGTGGGAAGAAGGGATAAAATCTCGGGCAGCTTGTCTATCTCCAAGGAATTGTCTAGAATGTTCCCTGGTAGAATATGAGAGAAACCAGGTCATGTCTTTCTTGTGATCCTCCCAACCCTTAGTTTTACTTTCCCTTAATGAGATGCTTCTTCTGTTCTTCATGAACATAGAACTCCATTTCAATAGAAGATTTTTTCAAATTTAGCCTTGTCTATCAAGGAATGTAAGGAAACATTATGGACTCCTTGGAAGGATGTTGCAATGATGAACAACATCAAGGAAGATTACTTTGGCAGGATAATCATGCCACTGGAGGAATGTTTTATTGTGCATTATGGAATATTAAATCTGAATGTATGTATGCAACAGAAAACCATTTTTGGTCTCTGTTGGTATACATTTGAAGAATTTGTCTAAGCTACTGTGAGGATTACCAATTACCCAGTGCATAAAGAGCAAGATGTTTGCATCTGTTTTGTTGCTTGTATCTGTGAACTGAGAATTATTTCTTACTAGTGTCAAACTTCATTTGCATATAATTGATCTTATTTTGTTTGCTGCTAATTTCTATTTTTTTATAGGGAATCTATTTCCAATGAATGAACGTGCTACAAGAACAATCAGGAATCTTTATGTTGAAAATGAAAGGGTAATTCTGATTTTCAACTACATCTATTTTTTGGTACTTGACATGAAGTGTTACTTTCATAGCAACATGAAGAACAAGCTCATGGCATGAATAGATTCATGTTTAATGCATAATATGTATATTTGACTTTGTGATTATTAATTAGAAGTAGAAAAAACTTTCTTCTTTTTCTTAACTTTTAAAATACAGTAATGCACACCGTAAGCTATTCGTTTCCTCATTTTGTTTATATTCTGCAAGCTGACAACTGCGTTGTTTCTACTGACTTGTGGTTACTTGGTTTGTATACCTGGCACAATTTATTAATCTGTTGCTTTTTCAGCTAAGTCAATGCGGTCGTCCCCTCCTGTCCTATAGAAGAATGAAAATTGGAAAATCCTGTGCCTTTTCCTGAATATCCTGAAAATTCTATTTTATTTTTGATTGTCCTACAGAAGAATGAAAATTGGAAAATCCTGTGCCTTTTCCTGAATATCCTGAAAATTCTATTTTATTTTTGATTGTCCTACAGAAGAATGAAAATTGGAAAATCCTGTGCCTTTTCCTGAATATCCTGAAAATTCTATTTTATTTTTGATTGTCCTACAGAAGAATGAAAATTGGAAAATCCTGTGCCTTTTCCTGAATATCCTGAAAATTCTATTTTATTTTTGATTCTATATGTGAATTCGCTCAAGTACTCTTTCTCCATTTCATGGATATTTATGGATCTCTTAGGTTACTTTTGCAATTCTGCTGTCACCAGGTTGTGCTTGAAGGCTTGTGGCAAGAAGGATTCATGGCTATTGCTGCAATTGGTGCGACAAATATTGGGTCTATTGAGGTGAAATGGATTTTATCAATTGTTAACTTAACAATTAATTCCCCTCCACCACCTACCCACCACTACACATTTCGGCATGCAAGCATGGAAAAAAACATGAATCCACCATTTTTTTTCCTGTTACATATGGGTTGAATAATAGAAAGTTAACTGAATTGTGTTCTCCTGATGAAACCAAATTGACTTGTTATTTAGTGTCTCTTCGTTGACATGCCTCTTGTTTTGACCCTAGCCTAAACTTGCATGTGGCAGCTTTTCATTGAACCAGAACTGTGTACCAACCTGCCAAGGAAAAAGCTACTGAATTCTCAGCCTCCAGAAGAACGTGTATATGAACCTGAAGGCATTGGCAAAATGTTGAAGAAAGGGGAGGAGGTTAGTAATACATACAGATTGTATTTTCCAAAATTGATGCTTGATAAATAGTGTCACCAAAGATTGTATAAAGGGAAATCTCATTTTAACATTATAATGGTTATAGTTGAATCAGGTGTGCTGCTTTACTACTTGGTTGCCCTTTTACTTTCATACATTTTATTTTAATCTTTTTGTCCTAGTTAACAGGAATTCCATTTTAACCATTGATTCATATGTTTAATTTGAAAAGATAAAGTATGATAGGCACCATGAGATGTCTTCTAATTTATCACTACTAATTACTATTCAGCAAGTGACATTTTCTTAACCCCTTTATTGCTGTATGCTGAGCTCAATCCCATGACTTTTATGACAATAGTAAGTGGACTTGTCCTATGTTACCCCTTCTCCTCCTCCCCATGTTTGTATTTGTTGCACAGTATGTGATAGATTTCGTTTAGGTTTCATATGTGATAGATTTCGCTTGGGTTTCATGTTTCATCCTTCGATTTCTTAGGTGGCTGCATTCAATATGGGATCAACAGTGGTGCTTGTCTTCCAGGCTCCCACATTAAAGCTGTTGAAAAACAGGGACTCATCCTCAGAGTTCAGGTTCAATATCAAACGTGGAGACAGAGTCCGTGTTGGAGAAGCACTGGGAAGGTGGCATGATATGTAGAAACAAGTGTAAATTCGCTATTATGAGCACAATGTATGTACTCTGAGTCTGAGCAGAAACAGATTTTACTAATGAAAACAGGGAAGATTTCAACTGACATTATGATCAATTGATTAGGTATCAGATTTTGATTCTTGAGACTTTTAGTTCCTTCCTGTGTTGGCCATAGTCGATGAAATAAGGATTCATTGGGTAAGATGTAGAAAATCTCCTTTATTGCAATTTGGTTTATTATGAAGTCATATTATCTAACAGGCATCAGCCTTCTTTCCATTTTCAGTTAAGCGCCCATGCTGAGTTAACTGTATATTTATCTGGTTGTTAGTTTGTTTTGATAGGAGTTGCATCCACAGCTACTTAGATGATAATTTCGGTTATTGTTTTTCATTCTTTCCATTTTTTAGGACTATTCTCTTCTAGTATTGATTCACAAGTTGTAAATTTGTTGGCAATCAAAAATATAAATTGCAATTCTCTTGTTGCCCTAAATGCAACTGTTTTACTGTCTTAAACAATGGATAACGTTATATGTACCCTTTGAAGTAGCTACAGCATATTTTTTAAGTCTCGTGAGTTCTGAACTTCTTGCCAATTTATGCTGCCACGCAATTCATCGCTACTGAATTTCTAAGTTTCATCTACAGATTAAGAACGCAACATGGAAAGGGTTGGAACTACCCTCCAAGCTCCCAAATTTATACCAGTAGGGCGTGCACAGTCCCTGTATCAACCATTTAAGCTTTTTAAAACAATACACTAAACTTTTCACTCTCCATATCTAACTACTCCGACTTTCGGCAACAAGGGGTAACTTTGGTTATTCAGGGAACACTCTGAATATCCATTGTCACCCTTGTCGACAATTGCTCAAAAACATTTGAGCCATAACATGTAGTAAAAGTACAAGACTCCATTCAATTTTCTCATTCCAATGACAACAGTTAATTATTAAAAGTAATCAAAACCAATTTGGCTGGAAAATCACGACAAACAAATTCAGGTTCACAAAGGACATCAGTACAGAGCCCCCACTTAATCAATAACAAAAATCCAAATACTGAATCAAACAACATTGCTTTCATGTTGTGAACTTGAATTAGAATTCCTCAGTACAAGTAAAAACATGCACTTTTAAACCAAACCACACCATTTATAAACTCATATAGAATTCTCAACAAATATAACAAAATTGGAGTTTCAATGCATTTACATTTTGTAGTTTCACATCAGTCAAGACCAAATTGTTTTTGCATTTTCTTCAAACTCAACTGAAACAGAATTATGTTTAAGTCTCTTGTCCCATATCACTCTATATCAACACTTTGTTCCTGAGAATGTCAAACAACCATCTAACGTTAGCTTTTAACAAAAAAAAACACTTTGTTCCTGAGAATGTCATATAACCATCTAACATTAGCTTTTAACAAAAAAAAACACTTTGCCTGAGAATGTCATATAACCATCTAACATTAGCTTTTAACAAAAAAAAAAAAAAAAAAAAAAACTTTTGCCTGAGAATGTCATATAACCATCTAACATTAAGCTTTTAACAAAAAAAAAAAAAAAAAAAAAAAGTAATAACAATGATAACAATTATTTCCACAATAACAAAAACCTTCACATTCATCATACCCAGTTTAAAGGAATTCTAAATTTTTCTCATGAACCTTTAATATTTACCACGATTAGGGTTTCCTATCTTTCCCCTCCATACTTCTCCAACAACTATAGAGCACCCATAATTTCTAAGCATTGATTATTTGGAATTTTAATTATGGAACTACTCAATTATTCTAAATTCTTAAGGACAAATAGTTACAAGTTTTACCACCTTTCTTCATTAAACAAAGAAAAAGGAGTGTAAGTTTTACAGGGTTTCAAACCCTTCCCCTTGAGAATTGTGTACTTAAAATAAGAAAATTTATCTAAGAATCCCATAAATATTGAACATTGTGGTCTTTGGAAAGCATTTTGTTTTCACTCCTACATGTATTAATAAAAATTTTCCTAAATTTATTACCCTCAAAAAAAAAAAAAAAAAAAAAAAAAAGTAATAACAATGATAACAATTATCACAATACAAACCTTCACATTCCATCATACCCAGTTAAAGGAATCTAAATTTTCTCATGAACCTTAATATACCACGATAGGGTTTCCTATCTTTCCCCTCATACTTCTCCACAACTATAGAGCACCCAAATTTCTAAGCATGATTATTTGAATTTAATTATGGAACTACTCAATTATTCTAAATTCTAAGGCAATAGTTACAAGTTTTACACCTTTCTTCATAACAAAGAAAAAGGATGTAAGTTTACAGGTTTCAAACCCTTGCCCCTTGAGAATTTGTACTAAAATAAGAAAAATTTATCTAAGAATCCCATAAATATGAACATTGTGGTCTTTGTGAAAGCATTTGTTTTCCACTCCTACATGTATAATAAATTTTCCTAAATTTATTACCCTCAGCCATTATAGGAATTAATCATAGCACCTGAAGCAGCTACTAATTAGACTATGCCTGAGTTTAATTATCGATGAGAAAATTCCCTTTTTGTTGTTGCTATTTGAACAGTAATTGACAATAACAGAGCACATAAATTAACCAAAACCTATCATTTGATTCGAAATTTTAACCTCTAATCTAAACAAACTGAACAAACATCATATACTTTGTGAATTCCATAGCCAAAATTAGAATTTATGAAAGAAACTATAAACAACCGCAACAAGCAAAGGCACACCTACGTCTGTTTGGAGTAAGAGGAAGAAGAAGGGACACGCTTGTTACGAAACATCATATAACCGACAGGTAAGACCACTCCTATCATCATTATTGCTGCTCCAATAATGTATCTTAACGGACTCGGCGGCTCCACCTCTACGAGTTTCCGGTACTGCACTCCTCACCCAATGAAAATCAGTCAATTCAAATCTTGTATAGGTACTTCAGTTACGAGATCTGAACTCACAGTTGTATAACGAGAGAGAAGAAGATGACTTACAGGCATTTTTATATTATATTTCCTTGTTCGGTTGATGCAGCTTTGAAGCGATCGAGAGGGAGACAGTAATTGCAGTAATTGTATAGAAAGTACTGGGAGATCTGTTGCTTGCAGTTCAATGGCGATTTCTAGTTTTCTGCTCTGCTGCGATGATCTGAATTCTGCATTCTCCGCTGTGACACTGGTCCGGTGAGTTCGGTTGGCCACTTTTTATCTGCCGCGTGGGAATGAAGTCAATCTACTTTGAGTATCGTTTCTTTAATGATTTTATTTTTTTCTATAAAGTTGTTTCTAATTTCTTATTTTAGTAGAGGCAAAATGTACTAAAAATAATTTGAATAATGTAATAATAGAAATATTATTTTATGGTAATTAAACTTTAAAGCTTTTAATATAAGATCTTAAATTTCACATCTACTACTGATATTAAAATTAGAAATGAATAACAATAACAATTAAATTTTAATTTTAAATTATTTAAAATCAATTATACGAATTCTTAATTTAAATGATACTTTAAATAAATTTGTTACAGTTATAAAACGTAAAATTTTAAATAAATTTAAGTACAAATATCTAAATGGATGTTTAAAAACGAGTTTAGGAAGAATATAAATAGTAAAAATTTTAAACAAATTTATATCTGAATAGTTTAAGGTGATGTTTGGTTCGGGAACTACACAAGTATACAAAATACGTGTGTTTAGTCTTTTATTTTTAATTTTACCATGAGAGATAGACCATTTTAACTACTCTTTCATAAAGAAGTGAAATTTTGTATACTTTTCTAGTTAAGTACGATAAATTTATCAATTTCTTATATTATTTAAATACACTTAAATTTACATTATAAATATTCTTATTTTTTTCAATTTAAAGGTATTTTACTTTCCAATAATTATGGAAAATAATTTCGTTCGGAGTGTATCTTCATGGAAAGTATACTTTCCAGAAAATAGAATATCTACAACCAAACGAGGCCTAAAATTTCGGTGCGTAACCCCCTTTTATTCAATTTCTTTATATTCATATCATATCCCTAGTATCGAAATATAAATACGGTATCGTTTAATCTCAGCAATAGAACGACATCGTTAAAGAGAAGACACGTTCCATGATGTGATTGCTAATCTGCAATGTCAGCTTCAACTACCATCCAAAAGCTAAGGCCGCCAAAGATTTGGTGGGTGCCTGAGCTTCTGTAGTTCACAGAACAGTGATAAGTGATGAGTCTAATACGAAGAAGGGTCTCCTCAGGCCTTCCTCAAGTTTTTGGATTTGCAAAAAGGTCCTTCAAATGCTTGAAATTGACTGGGGACACTCTCGATTCCTCTTCCTCTCCTTATCTAACCCATGGCATCCACGTTTTTCAATGCCCAGTAAATCCTCATCATTTGAAATTTCTGTACCCTTTTAAGAGAAATTGAATTGTATTGAAGAAAGAAATGGCTTTTTTCTTTTTCATGGTAGGACGCGGTTGGTATTGTTGCTAAGCTATCAGATTGCATTGCTTCCAGAGGTGGAAACATTCTTGGGGCTGATGTTTTTGTGCCTGAAAACAAGAATGTCTTCTATTCTAGAAGGTAAAGACCTTACCTTTCAATTTTTTTACTTAATTTTTATTTTCTGGCAATTTCTTGTTTCATAGTAATTGTGTTACATTAAATTCTCTGTGTTTAATATATGTTCTTAGTAATGGATGTGTGTTTGATTTGTGGGAATTATTGCAGTGAGTTCGTTTTTGACCAAGCTCAATGGCCACGGGCTCTAATGGATGAAGACTTTCTTAAGCTAGCAAAAATGTTCAATGCAAAAACGTCTGTTGTCCGGGTGCCTGATCTAGACCCCAAATTCAAGATTGCTATTCTCGTTTCAAAGCAGGTATAACTTTCTGTTTGTGTTTATGCGTGTGTTTATAAATCTATATTAACAATTGTGTATTAAAGCAACCTTTATCTTGTTGCAGGAGCATTGCCTAACTGATTTATTACATAGATGGCAAGATGGAAAATTTCCAATTGAGATTACCTCTGTAATAAGGTGAAATTTTAGGATTTTCATCCTCTTAGCTAATCTATTTGGTTTCTTGGATGCTGATAACATGTTCTTTATACGTTTTTATAACAGTAACCATGAAAGAGGCCCAAACACACATGTGATTCGCTTTCTTGAAAGAAATTGTATTCCTTATCATTATTTGCGCACAACCAAAGACAATAAAAGAGAAAATGAGATCTTGGATTTGGTAAAGGACACTGATTTCTTAGTACTTGCCAGGTATATGCAGGTAAATTTAATTTGTTTGCTTCTTATCAATATCAACGAAGAATTGGCGGTAATTGGTTTTGTTATTAAAGGCAACCTGATAGAAAGAACATTCTTCTATAACTCAACTGATGTTCACATCAGAAAACCCATTAAATATTGATCTTAATTGTATAGCACACTTACTGATTTTTGGATACCTTTTGATCAATGTCTTAAGTGTTTAGTACTTAAAAGGTTTATTCATTACCACAGATATTATCTGGTGATTTTTTGCTGGGCTATGGGAAAGATGTAATTAACATTCACCATGGCCTTCTGCCATCATTTAAGGGTGGGCATCCATCAAAGCAGGTAACTATGTACTTCATTAATGTGATCCTGAAAGTATCCCCCTTTCAACTATTTTGTGTTCAACCCTGATTCCCATACTTCTTTTAATTTCATAGACAATGTTTGCAGGCTTTTGATGCAGGTGTGAAATTGATTGGTGCAACTAGTCATTTTGTGACTGAAGAGCTTGATGGAGGGCCTATTATCGAACAGATGGTAATACTTTAGATTGTTATAAGTTTTCACAATCTGAATTTTGATATTTCAATCAAACACACTGAATGGTTAGTATTCTTGGTGATTGCAACTAAACTGTATGGTGATTATTGCTTTACAACTTTGAGCTGAATGGTAATAGACATTGTTGTAAGAAGTTGCATAAGTTAATGTTGGAGCAAATAGTCGTCCTCATGTCCTGTACTGCATATTGAGAAGCTGTGCAAACTTGGCAGCTTATATGTAGGTGTCTGAATTTGTTAAAATGGGCTCCATGTAACTTGGCTTTTGTTCCTTGTTTTCATGTGTGATGTCTGCTTCTTTCACTAAGATATCGTTATTTCTCTCTTCATTTTATGTGAATGATCTTATATGCCAGTTGTTTAACTAATTAATAATCTATATTGGTAGATCTTTGAAAGGCTAACTTAGCAATGGAGTTTATCATACATCTCACTTGCCATATTATTTCTCTGGAAATGCTGCATTTGGTATTTACTCGCATGATACCCATAATTAGCTGTTCTTTAACTAGTTAACATTTTTTGATAAGCATTTATTATAGCAGGTTGAGAGAGTTTCCCATAGAGATAATTTGCAGAGTTTTGTGCTGAAATCAGAGAACCTGGAGAAACAATGCCTTGCAAAAGCTATAAAGTCATACTGTGAATTGCGAGTATTACCTTTTGCAGAAAACAAGACTGTTGTGTTTTGAGGTGAACAGATGGAGAAAAGCAGTTGAAAATAGTTATATCTTGTATGTGCCATTCAGTTTACTCATTACAATTTTTAAGTCTACTCATTGGCACCACTTTGTTGATACATTTTAATACATAACCCACAAGTGGAAGCCATAAAGTAAAAGTCAAGCGTTCTTTTTCGTCAGCTTGCCGGAATTACCATACTTCCTCTAATTTACTATAGCTTATTTTGCACACCTTTGATGCATCTGTAAACTGTGCCTTACGTGAATTCTTATAGGAATTTTACAATATTGCCTTTTGCCCTTTGAGATTTCGCCCCTCTATTTTCTGTGATACGTAGGGTTTGTTCGGCAAAATTAGTTATTTTGGTAACTGTAGCGTTTTGGCTATTAGAATGATAAGTTAACTTTTTATAACACGTTATCTTAACCTCTAAAAATTAATTCAAATGTTATGTTACCGATTATAATAAAAGATAAACGGAAGCTACTTAAAAATATATTCCCAAACACAGCCATATTATCAAAAGTAGTTAAAGCCGAAGGAGTTTGTTAGGGGTTAGGTAGAAACTAGCACTTCTTAGGATACATGAGAGTAGAAAGTTCATTGCCATTTTCCAGGGACAACACATGACAAGATTGAGTTTAATTTCTTATATTCTGTAAATGGTTTAAAGAGATGAAACGTATACCATTCTGATACTATATAACATTGGCAAAAACTTGACAAATCCCTATTCTTTAAGTACATATACAAAATTGAAAACCATGCTATATGCTATCACTTATGTTTAGAAATTCCAGAGAGCGTTCGGTGGCTTCGACACAGCTGACTTGACGAAGAAGATTTTGGATCCCATCAACCCATCTTTGCTTATGTATCTTACTCTTGCATTTAAATTCTAGAAGACCCTGTGCAGTCTTAAGACCAAAATATACTTCTTCAGAACTTTCTCTTTCTTTTCTATATGGCCAAGCTGTAGTCTCATCACATACCCCATAAACAACACCTAATACAAGCAGAGAGCACATTCAAACTTGAAATTATTGTAAGGAAAAGCAAAAACAAGGTAAATAAGAGATTAATATTATGAAGCTGTAAAAAACTGGAAACGTAGCTAAACTTGCATGCTTACATTTTTGCTTCTTAGAGAAGGCTCCTCCAACATGTTTGCTTTTAATCTTAATTATGACCTGAAAGTAGAGCATCTGCCAAGTAAGCAACAGAAATTTTTGTTTGATATAACCTGTTTCCTCATTTTCTACTGAAGGTTTGTGTATATATATATACCTGCAATTTCTTGTTAATGCAGACAGAAATGTGTTTCCATCGCAATACTCCTGGCAATTTGAAGAGCAAACTGATTTAGTTTTAGCAGCTAAAAATCTTATTGGGTGGCAATTCCATTCGTTAACATTCTTAATCAAGAAGTCAAGCAAAGTCTTAAGGCAACTATAAAAAAGTACAAAGTACAAACCTTTTCTTGTGTGTTGCAATAGTTCTCCAACGCAGGGAGCTTGTTCTTTTACCTCGCCAATGTATGCAGAACCCCACTGAGTTTCTGCCATTCCTCTATCATAAGGAATTATAGCTGCATTCTTTCTTGCTTCTTTTGGTAATCTTGCTTTTAGTGCTGCTTCACCTCTCAAAGCTAATTAAGTGCAACACATTATTAATCAATGATCATCAATGGGGTTAATTACCATAAAACCCTTGCAGTTTAACGTAATTAGACTTCAGACCGAAAACCAATTTTGGTGAAAAGAGCAAGAATTTGAGGAATAAAGTTTTAATTAATAAAAAATTTTAAGGACTAAATGCATTACATTTTAAAATTTTAGGGATGAGGACGCTTTATAAGCCAAAATGTCAAGGAGAAAATGTAGTGAAAATTTCATAATTATGGAATCATGAAGATCAGTTTACAATCAAGCACCTGTTGCAGCTGCTGCAGTGTGAGTCATTAGATCACCTGGACTCTGAATATCCATTGCTGATCTAACAACAGATGCTATCCGATCATGATCAGCTCCAGATAATTCCGCTAATTCTATGCAATGTGTTGCCAGGAGTTCAGTAGCTGAGGCCAAAGCCACACTCATTTTTGAACTGGGGCCAGAAGAGTTTCCTGCAGCAAACACAGCAGCCAAGGCTGCAGCTAGTCCAGCAACAGATATAGCAGAATGCATATTCGCATTTTCTATTCGAGCCTTATCCTTCCTCTTCGCCATACTACTAATAAGATCCTTGTGGTGGAACCACTTTCCTATTGTCCCTGTCTTTCTTGAATTTGTTGAATTTATTGAATTCATTGCATTCCCTAACTGCAAAATTAGAAAAAATAATTAGAAGAATAGAATTGAAATTGACAATTAAGATTGAGATTTCCCTAGTTCTTGCAAGTCACCTTTGAAAACAATTACCAAGAAAATCAATCAATAAAAAGGACACCAAAGAAAGAACGGAAAAGGTAACTTACCAACTGTGGTGCAGCAACTGTTTCTGGAAATGTATTGGGTTGCTTATCAGCAAAAAGTTGTCTCTGTTTCTGAGCCAGAACTTTTGAAATTTCTGCAGCAGAAAGACTCCAAGATCTTGATAAGAACTCCATAGGCTCTCTTGGTGTCTGTGGTTCAGGAATTGCTGGCAAAGATGTTACCAGCTTCGGTTCTTGCTCTTCTTCCAAATAATCTAGCAAAGAACCATTCTTCCAAGAAGAATTAAACCCACTATCCATGTCCTTAATTTGTATTCAAAAATTCCAATCAAATCGAATACACTAAACTTTCTTGAGCTATTTCTTGTATAAACTAATCGTAGATATCTCGCAAGACTTCAATGAATACTGTGTTCACTGTCATATCAGCCAAGAAAGCATATTATATGGTAGATATCATAGAATAAGCAACTCAACGTAGAATAGAAAACTAGAATGTAAAAAGGCAAGAAAATAGTATTTTTCTTTTTGTTTGAACGAAAAGCTTCCACTTTGTAGAAAAAGCAAGAGATGTTTAAAAGTACTTCAAAAAGCTATAACTAATCAGTGCATACAGTCAAATGAAGCTACAAAGCTTGTAACTTTATATCCAAAAGAAAACTCTTTTAACTATACAGAATTCAGATTCAATTAAATCTCAAAGAAATTTTAAGAAAAGTTCTCAAAAATATAATTTCTCTTAGACCCATCATCAAACAGAACATGGACAAAAAGAGAACTGCTTGTTTTACTAACCTTTCAAAATCAAACGCTCTCCATTTAACAACCCATATATATAAATTCTTTTATATATACACGTACAAAAAGACCAAAGTAACTAACTATATCTAGGAGACAACAGATTACAGAAGCACCTGCCAAAATTCTTGTGCTTTGAACCTCCGTGAAAAAAGATTGGGTTTCGTTAAAGGAATCAAAAAGACTGATCTAAGAAAGACAAAAGCAGAATTTACGAAACTCGAAAATAAATATAATTATATTTTAAGGAACAGAAGAACACATTATCCTTAATAACCGGGGACTGTTCCTTAACACTCATGCAATTAAGCACAGGTTTCTACATGAAAAAATGGAATTTATGTACTATATATTGTTTTGTAGTGCTCAAGACCCTACAGGTTGTTTCCATATATTTTCATAATTCGACTTTGCTATTTGGATGAGTTTGATCCAGCTCAGATAGAGTAATTTTTATTTATTTTTGGCTGATATATTACTATATTATAAGTATATATTACCATACAATATGTATATATTACCATATATATCTAATATATACATTATATATATTTTTTAATATCATATTATATAGTTTCGATCTCAAAATCGCGGATGGAATTGAATAGTATTGGCATATTTTATATACAATGTATGTAGTCCAATATCCAGTCTCATCCATATCTATTTAAAGGAAAATTATTATGTGTATCTCTATTTTGACATAAAAAAATGAATAAGTCTTGTTAAAATACTAACTAATCAAATATGCTAATTAGGGTTAATTATAATTATGATGTCTGAATTTTTTAATAATTTATATTTTAGTGTATGAATGGAAAAAGTTTACAATTAAGTATTTCTGTTAATAAAAATATTGTAATCAAATACATTTTACCGGATTATTTAGCCAAAAAATTAAGATCGAATGATTTTACTCAATAAATTACATTAAATATAAATATCCATTCAATTTATTTCTTTTATTTTTTTTAATTTGTTATTCTCTTATATATATATATCTCTCCTATCTATTAAAAGTCTTAAAATTCCTTATAATTTTCTTTCAATTTCAAAATAATATTAAAAGAAAGGAGAAAAAGCAAATAAAAAAAGAAAATTATAATCTAGAAAGTTAAATAAAGTAAAATAATTGAGAAAATAATTCATTTTAGTTTTCCAGTGAGAAATTTTGTCTAAAAGCATTTTAATTGTATTAAATTATCAATTCAAACACTTAATTTGTGCTCGTGGGTCTGTTATTTGACTATCTAGTTGGAGGGTACTCTAATTACTATTTTGGTGGACTGTGCAGTACCATCCATTGGCCATGCATGAAAGTTCGGTGGACGGTGATTCTTGTCTATGGTCAACTAATTAATATGTGTTGGAGATTAATTTTAATTATTTAGATCAACCCTAACACCGTGAGCTTTCAACCAAGCCGACGTCAAATAAACAATAGCCCCCATAGTCATAGCAAGTTTGACTTACATTTAGCTTGTGTTAAATGGTAGACACACACGTGTTAACTCTATTGCTTGAGAAGGGGATTGATGGTTTCACTGCCAGGTATAAAAGAGTGGGTACTTGAGGACCTTTTTTTTGTGTCTATTTCTAGCATACCAAAATAATAATTTTGTAGCTTTTATCGTACTAATTTCACTTTCTGAGTTGTTATAATGTCACTTGCAAGCTAGCTTCCATCATACTAATTTGATCAAAACAAAATATACCATCTTTCATAAATATGAAGGCAATCTAGCACATATCCTTTTGTCAAATTAGGCTGCTAACTAATCTATGTTACAAATGTGACGGTGACTTCGATTAATAAGTTGATTCTGCTCGCAAGTTATTTGAATTTAATTTTAAAAAAAAGTTCAACTCAAATGGAGTTTAAATTTAATGATTTTCAATTTAAAAACTCATTGAATTTTATCAAATCTAACAATATTCAACTCAAAATCTTATGAACTTTTTTATACACATATATAACATTTAATTTAGACTTATTTGAATCTTGAGTTCAATATTCATCAAGTGGAGTTCAAATTCAAAATTTTTTAAGTTGATTTTAAGCTCTAAAATTAACTCAAATTTAATTTGATTTTTGAGTCGAAATAAATTATATAGAGTCAAACTAAATTCTGCTGAGTCAAACTTCAATTCTATAATTCGAGTTCCACACGTTTGCATCCTAAATTTAGACCTATCAATATCTCAAGGCCCTCGCACCCTGACCCACAGACAAGCGTGTACCAAGTACAATCCTCCTGTAATTGCTTTTAAAATGTATATGGTGCCATTGATGCACCGACACGTTCACCAATTTTTCATGCTTAGATCACATTTCAATTCATAGAAGTTGTTCAATTGGAAGCTTCAAATTTTGATTGGACACAGAAATGAATTATTTCTTTCTTGTCACATTGCAATTCTTCAAGTGCCACTTCCAGCCAAAGATACTGACTTTGCTTTCAAATTTCAAATTGGGGATTGACACATTTCATAGAATAAAATCATTTAATCAAATGTCCTCTTATCTTCAGTACTGCAAGGAGCCAGGAAAGGTCCCTCACAGTTTTGCATTATATACATATATATAAAAATAAAAAAATAAAAAAATAAAAAAAAAGAAAGAAAAGAAAAAACACATTTCATGCATTGTATCTACAGATAAGATTATTGGACCAAGCCAGTCTGTACTTGGGTTTTATGTCTATAATTTGGTTACCCACTTACAGGAAGACGAGTATGGGATTTATTATACTAAAATCAGACTATAATTAGAGATTATTTTTGTCAAATGGATTGTTCTTCTCCATTAAAGCATGTGATTTGGCAATCGATGGATGGGATGACATAAATCATTTCTCTCTTAACTAAAAATTTTGAGTTCGAATCCTAAGTATAGAGTCTTTTTAAACACTCAGAAGACAGTGCTTCAAACACTGAAGGGTTAAAAAAAAAAAAAAAAAAAGTATTCTACAGATAAGATTATTGGACCAAGGCCAGCTCTGTACTTGGGTTTTATGTTCTATAATTTGGTTACCCACTTACAGGGAAGACGAGGTATGGAATTTATTATATAAAAAATCAGACTATAATAGAGATTATTTTTGTCAAATGGATTGTTCTTTCTTCCATTTAAAAGCATGTGATTTGGCAATCGATGATGGCGATGACAAAAATCATTTTCTCTCTTAACTAAAAAATTTTGAGTTCGAATCCCTAAGTATTAGAGTCTTTTTAAAACACTCAGAAGACAGTGCTTCAAACAACTGAAGGGTTAAAAAAAAAAAAAAAAAAAAACATATGACTTGATATTAGAATCATGAATTAATGCTTTCTAATGGATTAGGTAAAGCATATATATATATATATATTATTATATATATATTAAATTTATTTATCAACAAATATTATGGAATTTAAATAATTCAATCATGATTTTTTTTATGAGCTAAAAATCAGATATAATTTATTTATCTACAATATTATGGAATAAATATCAATCATGATTTTTTTTTATGAGCTAAAAATCAGGTATGCTATTAAACTAATAGTTTAATTGTTGAATGTTTGTTTTACAGTAAAAAATCAGAAAAATAAGACCAGACATAAAAATAAATAAATAAATAAATCTCCAATGACAGTTATTACAATTTTGGCCTTTTTTTTATAATTTTATTAAACAGTACCTTTTATTTTGTTTTTTCATAACAATTAATAAGTTACGTATTATAGTCGTTCAGACTCAACTCGTGTGGCTGTTAAAATTAATTAGTGTAGAATCTACACATTGCACATTAACATTAATTAGGAAATTTATTAACAACTTGGCAAAAAAAAATAATTTAATTTGATTATAAAAGTTATAGCCTTATCCTTAAAAAAAATTATAGCCTTATAGAATGTGGTCTCTTTTTTTTTTTAATTGATTAGGAGGTTAACGGACTGAAAGAATATTATGAACTAAACAACATGAATAATTTTCTATGACTCTCTGTGCAAGTGAAAAGACCAATCATTTCACACTAATAAATCAAATGGGTCCATGTTTTGTTGAAATAGAGTTGATGAACGATGTGTAGTGTTCATATTAACTAATTAATTGAATTTGAAAGATAATCCTATAAAAAAATAGAGTTATTATGAAGAAAAAAATATAAGGTATTAATTAATAAACTTACAAAATTTATCAAAATTATAAAAAAGTGTAAAAATTAGATTTATTTTTATTTTTTTTCAGAACAAGTGGTGCTTCTGGCATCTTTCACCATCTACTATATTTTCAATCTCAAAAGAGATAACGAGCATTCCTTTAAGCCAACAGGAGCTCTCCACCTGTGCGCATACTGTAGAAGGCAGAAAGAAATAAGAAAGCCACCTCCGCCATTGGAAGGGAATCGAATTTCCTTTTGAAAATAAAGAGCTAGAGAAAAAGATATGAAAGCAACATAAAGCTAAATTCCAATTATGCATATTTATAATGTTAAAAAAAAAAGATTATGGATATTTATTTATTTATTTAAAAATGGATATTTATTAAGGCATAATTCATATGCAAATTCATTACTCCAAAATATTTTCATTTTGACCTTGACCAAGAACATCCTTTTAGTGTTGGACATGTAAAACCTGTTCATGGGCTCCGTCCAAAATGCTGAGGCTCAGCCCAGCCCATTTTTGGCCTGGTTACCCAACAGAAAAAGAAACTCTCAAATGCGTCATCCAATATGCACAAACATTTCCTTCTTGATGTTATTTTTACTACACACTACAACTTTAGTTCAATTTTTATTATAGCTTTAGTTAAGTACAACCTGAATGTGTTAGCAGTGGCTACCAATTTCTTTATAAGTGAAAACAATTCCAAAAATCACTTGAAAGCACAATCTGGAAATCTATTTGGCATTGTGATGTCCCCGGAAAATTTGGAAAATTTTATACACAGTTGTTTCGGATTGCCTTCCTGTCCTGCCTATCTTTAAAGGCTCCACATGTTGATGTTGATAATCAATGCCCAGCATACAATAATAAGGATGAAAGTGTTTTACATGTGATATGGCTTTGCTCGATTGCCCAACAAATTTGGTGCCAATCTTCCTATAAGTTGGTGGACTGATGTCGTTGATGTGCATTCTTGGATCATTTCAGTTATGACTAAAGTTTCTCGGGAGAAATTTAGTCTTATTTCTATTATAACATGGGAATTGTGCTCTGGGCTCTAGGAACAAATTAATTAAATCAAATTCAATTATATATTTAATATTGAGCTTATAATGAGTTAGATTTACCTTTAACACAAAATGGCCTAAGCCATTTGGGTTGGTTTACCCTTCACATTATATGCCCTTTTAGGCAATTGTATTTA